AAATTAAACGGAAGATTAATCTCGTCGAGTCTGTCGTTTACTTAGTCTGTGCAAAGTGCCGTCTAATTGAATAAAAAATGTTGTTAAATTAAAAAGTAAAATTTAAATCGAAGTTCAACCCTTCAAGAGCCATTAAACATTGTAGTTGCTTTAAATTCGACAATTCTTATACGGTTTAATGGAATCTCATAGTTCATAGGAAACCTATAACATATTCAACAATTATCGTCTTAATAGTTTAATATTGTATTTCAACTTTCCTTGTATCATTTCTGCTATTAGGGAAACATGAAAAAAATCTATATTCATGTGTATATTGTGGTTAGAAAGGCAAACAAGTTTTGCTTTAATAACAAACATAAATAACAAATCAACAAACTGATTATTTAACTAATATAAATAACATAAAGACAATGATTGCGAAGTCCGTTAATTGTGAGACAAGGTCATATTTATTAATTTTGCACATTTGAGGCCTCGCCACACGAGCGGATATCGATCCAACTGTTTCAACAAATGAGAAAGAAATTATAACTGACGTTAGGTAGCTTATATTATACTACGCAAAAATAATTACAGCCATTCAATATAATGAACTCTACAGGAAAGAATGTATTAAAATTATGTCAAAATCGAAGTATAAGATATTAGCTGTTCCCGTGCGGCTTTATCCGCATGAAATTATAAAAACTTTATTTTATTGTCTACAAATTCTCAATTGTAAATATCAAAATTCAAATGCTCAAATGACAACGAAGGCTTTTGACATTGGATAAAAATACCGTTACCATGGCAATCTTGCTTATTTAATGTCGGCAGCTTAAAACCCTTTCCCACGAGGAGGTTTAATTCCAATTAATTTACCCCCTAAGTTTAATAGCGTGAACATATATAGCTAAAGCGTGTCGTAAGTGTTGGGCTTTTTATAAAATAGACAATTATTCAAAAAGATGCTGTGATTACTGATATCCTACGGCACGAAGTAGTGTGATATTACGCTTCATCATATTAGTATAGAAAAATAATGAAAAATAACTATTCGACAGTTGTTATCAAAAAGTCTGCCTCAATACAAAGACATGCTAATTCAAAGAACGATATAAATAAACATGCTTCCTTTGCAAAACTGATACAAAAGCACTGTGTGCAAATGAGGTGTTCATATACCAGACAGGAGCTTCTCTAATGGTCGGTTTCCCAGCTACTTTTAACTATTCGTTATTGTTTTTCGTTCGCTAACTTCATGAAATGCTTTTCCTAACTACGTAACTTGAATTTTACTCCATTGAAACATAGGCCAGCCTAACACTGATAAGTCGCTAGGTAATGATAAAATAAGTTGAAACTTCAAAAACCCAGCATAAATCAGCTTTATGTATAGAACTGCCGATTGTATTTGTGACTAAAACTTTACATTAATTGTTACTATCTGTTTACAAATCTAACTACCACGTTCAAATCTATTTAATGATTATTTAAGACGTCCCTTAGTCCTTAGCGTAAATTTATAAAGTTAATCCCATACTAAGATACTTTCTAAGTGTCAAATAGTGACGTACGTCAATAAAACCGTGCGATTCACGCCGCCAGTCTGTCGAGACCTTGCATTAGCGGGTCAACGAATGAGTTTGTGAGTGGAATCCCGCATGCAACATCTCAGTATGACTCACAAGAACTTCCCAAGAAGTCGCACGCAGAACAAATAAACAAACCGACTAAACAAACTATTGTATTGTATTATAACCCTTATATCTTAGTCTTTACGGGTGACATTTGTATGTAATTTTTGTATAAAATTGTCCTTTAACACGTTATGAGTTGTTAGACAAGTATGTCATATGGCAATTTAGCTTTATAGCCAGTAACAGATGAAGGTGAAAGATATTTTAAGACGTATTATTATTACACTACTAGCTTTCGCCCGCAACTCCGTCCGCGTGGAATAAAAAAAAAGAAAATGAATAGCCTATGTGTTCTTCCAGACTATCTTCTACATTTATACCAAATTTCATCGAAATCCGTTCAGCCGTTTAGGCTACAAACTCTAGCAAACATCCATCCATCCACGTAAACCTTCGCGGTTATAATATTAGTATGAAGTATGATTGTATGGTATTTTTAGATAAGAAGCACACCTATATAGATAAACTAGGTGTTGCTTACGACTTCGCTCGCGAGAAATAATGATTTAAAAAAACACGGCCTATGTGACAGACAATTAACCTCTCTAACGGTGATAGCATTTTTGAAATCGACCAAATAGTCTTTGCATGAATCGAATACATACAAAAATACAAATCTTAATTCTTTATAATATTAGTATATATGAATGAAAATTGTACAAATAGTGCTGTACTTAACAGAAATCCGTTATTTTAGCTCGTCCGGCTTTCAAGCGACTGAAAACTAGTGATTCTTGTGATCAACATTGATTACTCGTGTAATTTCGTTCGGGTTCTTTTCGGGTTCTCTTCAGGTTTAAAACTTGTGTTTTAAACCCGAATAACAATATGATTTCGTACTTGAGACGAGTAAGAAAACCATCATCATCCACTTGCCCTTATCCCTTATGGAGGGTCGGCACAGTATGTGCTGCTCTTCCATACATCTCTATCAGCCGTCATATCTGAACTTGAGACGAGTAAGAAAGCCATCAAAATCTGATATTAACTTCACACAATAAATCGCAAAATGTGCCTGGTTCGTAAAATTCTGTTATCGTATAACGGAGAGCTTTAGTAAAAATCAGACAGAACATTAAAATTCAAATCGCACGTGTAGCATTCAATTTGCCAGTACGTGAGTTCGATGCCGCGATATTTCTGAGACATTACGTACGGTAAGGGCGATGTGCTTGTTATCGACCATTTGTGTAGAAAATGGAATTTAAATGTCTACTTTTTGGTGCTTTCAGTTTGATAGGAATTATATTTGTTTCTTTTAAGTACAGTCGTGGACATTTGTCTACTCATTACTGTAAAATAATGCCTCGAACATATCACAGCAACATACGCACTAAAATCATAGCTCTTGACTGTCTTTTGTACAATAATTGAGCCCTAGTGGTAAGCGAATTTAATTCTTTGAGTGTCAATTCCATTTCATTATAAGTGATGACCAACTTTGAAGAATGATGTGTCTATTGATTCGTTATTCGGCGAAACATCACTCTGCCTTAACATGACTGTGTTTTTAACTAACTATGCTAAAGAACAGCTACTTCTAGGCTATCAAACGACAAAAGAACTTGCTTTAGTATTGTCCATTCTTTACCAAAATTGTAACTCCCTTATTTGGACATATAACAAATAAACACAAGCTTGTAAAAACCTAGCCTCTTATGTGGAAAGGTGTGAAACTCATGCTATTATATCTAATCAGCTTATGTCATGTATAGACAACGACGTATGCATCAACCGTACGGCTAGCGTCACTAGGATACGAATTCTTATTGAAATTCAACAAGATTCGATAACGATGCAAGTTCGTGATCGAAATAAACAAGTAAATGACTCAACTCTGTATTATCGATTTAATTGTAATCGATGAACGATGTATTTTGTATCGATTTTTTGTAGACTTCACTTTGGCAGAACATTGTATGTCTTTTGCCTTATTTTTATCTAGAAAAGGCATTTTACATAGAAACGCAGCCAAGACTGGTCGATTGACTATCAATGCGATCGATTCATAAAATCAGGTAAAAAGATTTTTTTGACATTCACACGACCTTCGATGAAGCAGGTATAAATATCTTACTGACCTTGTTTTGTCGTAAGAATAATTTATAAAACATCACGATAAAAATACTATCGAAAATACATGTAATGTCAGTTTCTTCATTAAAAAAAAACATTTTTTTTTCTTTTTTACACAAGCTAAGGCGGTAAAAATGTTAATAGCAAATAGTTAAATTCTATTGTTAAAAAACAAAAGTACTAGATTTTTTTTTTTAAATGCATCAAAAGTTAAACTTTTATTTTCAACCTGCGTATAGGAGAAAGAAAGAGAAGATATTACTGGCCAAAGATACTTTATTAATTACTAGAGCATGACTCAGAGTGAGTCAAAGCAAATGCCAACCGGCTAGATAAGACGAAGGGCAATAAAATTGTGTTTATTTACGTACGTAGGAAGAGGGTTGTTTAGTCGGGATGTACACGCGAACAAAAAAGTGTTTAAAAACAATTTTTACGCAACTATATCCTGTTAATATTTATTTGTGTACTAGTGTTTCAAGTAAAATGCTTTTCTAAAACACATGTGAAGTTCTTTCGTAAATTTTTGAGAGAATAGCTTTTTCTAATACACAAGGCACTTAAAATATTAAGTAAATACTTTTGAATAAATATACAGTTGTGTTGTGGTATGAAACACTTTTCCAGAGCACTGTACCTACGCTTGGAGATGTTTATACAATGCCGTCCTAATTTAAAAGTAGTTAAGATGCGTACAGTACATACGTATCAGCTGGCCTAATAGTACATTATGGAGTTCCTGCTGCATGCATCACTTTGATATATTGCTCACAGATAACATAGCTGTCAAATAATCTACAACTACCTACTAAAATTAGACAAGAACGAGATAAATTACATTCTATGTTATTAGTTTGACATAATAATTACAGAGTCAATGACCTTTTATTTATAGCTCTCTGATAATATTACTTAACATAACTATGCCTCAAGAACATTTTACATTTTCATTTATACGAGACAACAATGCCTCCTGCAAATCGAAACATACTTTTCTGGTAGTAGGAAAGAACACTTTTTTGAAAAAACTTTTGACACCCAAGTAACTTTGTTGTTTGTAAATTATATGTTGTGTACTTTTAACCTTAAATTACAAATATATTTCATGATTATGGCTTAGTATTAAAAGCACAAATTGTAATTAGTTTTAAGTTAGTATAAATGCAGTTGTAATAGTTCAATCTTTGTTGTTTTCAAAACATTATTTCTTTCTTTCTATTAGTCGTAGTCAATTGTACTAACCTTCAAGCATTTCAAACAGAACGTGTGTTGACAGGGTAAGACGCGAGAGGAGGTGTCGAGTCTCTCCAGGCACACGGAGCACTCCAGTAAATCATTGAGTAGACCTTCATCCATGCCGTTCGGAACCTGGGACAAGCAAATGAATATTAATTGACTAGCTGTAAGCTGCGACTTTGTTCGCGTGAAAATGAAATAACTGAAACAAACTAAAACGATTTCATAGTTCAGCTTTTATCAGACTGAAATCTATCTGTATTCCAAATTAAATACAGATCTGTTAAAGGCATCCTAGTGTTAAATGTTAATCAATTTTCATACATCCAAACTCTCGTATTTATAATTCTTTAAAATAATCATAAATAAAGCTTAGAAATATAAATTGTCCGTCGTTTTGTTAGTATTATAAGAACTATGTTCAAGATTAATTATATTAACATCGATTTACATTCCCTACGTTTCAGTGCGTACATGTTACAGCGGGATTCCACGGGGACATTCTACCGGCTGACGAGGATCTGTCACTTTTTATCAGCTGTTGAGTGCAATGTACTTTACGAGATCCGAGAGTACGCAAACTTGATAGTTATATTTGTAACCGTGGAATACCACTGCTGAAAGACGTTTGAAAGATATCGTTATCTCGATTTTTTAAGTCAACGAGAAAGATGGCATTACGTTCTTGTACAGTTTTTTCGGTAGTGTAAACCGCTGCTAATAAGGAAAGTAATATGGCCCGTTCAACGAAATATTAATAAAAAATAATCCAGACATCAATTATTTTTTATGCAGTAGTCGTAAAAAATACTGCATCAAAATGCTAAATGTAGTCATGATATCCTTTTCATATAGACAGACGCAAGTAAACTGTTTTACATGCAGAGATTCTGATACATTATTGATGAAATAATTTTATCAACATACATGACGCCATTTGATATCATAAACTAGAATCTCATCGAAAGGTTCTGGAAGATTCATGAACATAGTTCATTCGTTCGTCAAAAAACCTTTTTTTTCACGTGGAATTGTTCATTACATACGTAAATCTACAAACCACCGCTAAAAGGAAACGTATGACTCCTTTCCTTTTTCTTTCAACACAAGCATCCCGTGTTTGATTGTTCCGTTTGCATGCAACTACCGGCACAAACATCTGCCAAATTGTAATGCCATCGTATCCGCCACCATTCATTACGTACTCATATTTTTTTTATTATTAGCCCCCTTTACCATCGGTATGACTATCCCCTTGATCATCAGCCTGCCCCTTAATCAACGGCTGGTGGTGGCCATAGGTGAAACATCCTTTTCTTGCAGTGGCAATCGAACTTAGGCGTACTTTACTTTCTTGGTAGTCATAATTTAAACAACTGTGGTAAAATAAAATCGAATATTCCAATATTTATTGACCGTCTCCTACAAATATTCCTCTTACAGCTCTTTCTTGACTGTCCTTATTCAATATGCATTAAAAATAATTTCGTACGATTTTCACCATTCATTCATTACGAAAGTTTTGTTAAAATTGCCTACAAAACAAACGTTTTTAATATTCAGTAGGGTGACACATTACACTAGAAAAATGTTGGGTTACTCGTATGAAAACGGGGAGGGCCGCTAGTTAATTCAATCATCCATTCATTAAATGACTCATACCTAGGGTTGTCACCTCATAGGGTTTGAAACGATTTCTGCAAAAAAACATGCTGGGTTTCTGAATGTTCTATTCATTTTATTGTTACCTAGTGATTCATAAGAGTCAGATTGACTTAAGATTCATTGGAGTAAAACTGAAGTCACGAAGTTCGGGAACGCTTTTCATGAAGTTATCGAAACAAAAACGCTAACGAATGTATATTATATGTAACTGGGAAACCGGCCATTAGTGGGTTACGGGTTTTCCATGAAGTTACTCGTTTCGTCGTAGACTAATGACCGTTTTGTTTTGCCTTTTCGTCAAATAATCAAGGGTTGACACTGTTAATTAATTCACACCTAGCTTTCGTATCTTTTGTTGAAATTTGGTAGCCCTACACACACATCGTACGCAACACAACGAATTAACTGTAGTCTATCAGTTCTCCAAGAACGGAAACTACGTACGTAGCCCCTCTAATATCCAACGCAATAGCTAATCCACATCCGGTCGCGTTATGAATGCAAAAACTAATTTCCTCACACATACGATCTGATGCACTTCCGAGAATGCATTAGAACCACAGATCAAGGATATTACAAATACAGTTTACTAGCTTTCACCCGCGTCTCCGTGCTTAAAATAAACGAAAGTAAGACTATGTGTTCTTCCAAACCATCTACAACTATGCCAATTTTGAAATTCGCATTTGTAACATTAGTAAGAGTAAGATTGTCTACCATATGTCCAGCAGTGGACTGTTACAGGCTGAAACTAAATGCCATTTTTTTACAATCCAGTTTGCAACATTTTTTACTATATTTATGAAGGATAATGAATAAATCCTAATTTATCTTTTCTGTTATGGCACACACCAATTCTCACATCTTTATTTTCCCACAAAGCACTTCAGATTATAGGATGAAATCCTATATGCAAGAATTTTTAAAATTGGTGCTGTAGTTTTAAAATTGATTTGTTAGAATAAAAAAATGATTTAAAAAAGTTGACAACTAATGTAAAATTCTCAGAAGCTCATAAGCAACTGTTCTCAGTTTTAATGAAAATATCACTTAGAACTGAAGACATCATAACAATTTGTAGTTCCATGAAAAGTTGTATGCATTGTTGTACAACTTGTACAATGATGAGTTTTTCAAAACAAAACTTGCAACAGCCATACAAGTTGGTCAATATCTAGTTTTCATTTCATTTATGATATTCTTTTATATTACTTGATAAAACAATGTCTAGTCGAATAAATAACAATTGAATATATTGTAGTGTAATCTACTTTTTTTATATTTCATCATCATCTCCCCTGCCTTATCCTACTCCCGTAGGGCGCACCTGGTTTTCGTCCTCCAAATAACTCTTATCATCCATCATCTCAGTCATCACTCCCTTCTTGATCATGTCACCTTTCATGCAATCCATCCATATCTTTCTAGGTCTACCTCTACCAGTGTACCCCTCCACATTCATAACTAACATCCGTCACTTTTTAATATTTATTTATTACAAATATGTCCAATATTCACCAAAGTAATTAACATCATATATTATAAATGTGTTTGGATGAATGGATGTTTGTTAATATGTATCTCCAAAACAGTGCAACAGATTTCTATGAAATTTGACACAGATGTGAAAAAGCCGGGAAGAACCTGCTACTTACTATTCTTTTAAATTTTGCACCAACTATATTGCGGGCAAAACATAGTCTCACAATAATGTAAGCTTAGATATAAAATATAATACTGTATTGCACTATTTTCCTGATACCAGCAAACATTTCAGTTATTATTTAACAAGTAAAACCTATTTTAAATGTATGAAAGTTACTATAGAAAAGGTTGTTTAACTTCATCATTATTATGTCTTCAACATATTATTAGTCTGTTTATACAACTTACTATCATTGCATTAATTGTATTAATTGTTTTATGTTATAATAGTTTTGATTCATTAATACTTTAAAATATTTTTACAACTGTTAACAAGCCAGAAGTATGGAGGTTTATACAAATATTTGCTGATGCTCTTAACTTTGTCTATAGGCTATAAAAAAATTAAGATCATTATTCATATTGAAATCTGTTCTTATCAATTTTCTTTCATTTCAGGTTACAGAAAAGTATGCCTCCATTTTAAAAAGAAAATTCTCTAGACCCAGTTGTTTTGTGAGTTTAACATATATGACTAATTTTAAGGAGACCATATCCATGGTCGATGTTTTTTCATAGATTTTATAGTGTGTAATTTTTGAAAACTATTATAGACTTCTAAACAATGTTCATAAGTAATTTGCCAACAAGATTTTGGAGCTATCTTTACTGTATTTAAATCAACAGCCAATACTTTAGATAAACTTTACTTGTTTATTAATGTTGTTTCTTATTTTTTATATAGTTTGAGATTAAATAATTGCCATCTTATTGTAATAAGGTCATTTTATCATATGTTCGTAACCACTCTTAGCGATTTGTTACGATAAAGCATGTTTATAGACGTAATAATTCAGTTTCATTAAACTAATAAACTCTAAAGTAAATTATATACCAAAAAACATAATTGAGGCACTAATAAGATAACAATTTATACATTCCTGATAAAAAATAGCTCACATTATGATGTTAACGGTAGGAAACTATCTAAATACAAAACGATTCCTGATATTTTTGGAACACCCGCCGTTTTTCTTTTACTCTTGTTTCAAAAACTTTAAACGCTGATGACTCACCAAATTGTTTAAATTCCAACGATACGAGCGGGAAGTTGAACCATTATTGCTCTGCACGACACAGAACCAGGATACCACCACGATCACTCACAAATTCGACACACCAACGCTTTGAAACAGCACATAATTACAAACAAAACTTCATAGAACATTTAGCACAAATAATAAACAAGTTATCCACAGAAGTAATTGTTAACGGAAATATACACTTGTTCACATAAAAAACGAACAAAACACATCTAAGAAATGCCTTTTTAGCCGCTTATTCCTTTCAATATCTTTCATTTCATTCGTGATTCGTTCGACATTCGACAAACTGAGAAGAAGCGGGGGCGGGAGTAGGAAAATGTAGAGGAGTTGCAATATGAAATTTTTAGCATGTGGCTTTTAGACTTGGAAATTACTGTTTTAAAAGTTTTATAAATCTTTTTGAAAACTAACACTTCTTTTAAGTTGCAAAAATTGTTAATTGTATGATATGAAGCGTATTCTAGAGTGTACTTATAATTTAAGGTAACATTTGTTACAAATTTCTCTCCTATTTTTTTATAGCTCATGTCATTGTCACTTGTCAGATTGACAAATGTCAAGTGACTAGCAGCTGGAAGTGATTTTTATTGTTGATTTTAATTTTATTTGCTGATTCCGGTGATTTCCTTCATTTACTTAGTAAATTTACAAATTTAAGAAAAAGTACTTGTTTATTGTAGATTTTGGACAATGTCACGAGATAAAAGTGTCTGGTTTGCAGAGGAAATTCTTTTGGACGCCAAGCTTATTAATTTCCAATTAGAAACAGGAGAATGGGATGCCGTGGAAGAAATGTTGCGTGCAGAGGCACAGTTATCCAGAGATGCAGAGACTGGACGATTAAGACCGTAAGGATAATTTCACAGTTTTATAGTCAAACAATTTTATGTAGTACTTTGGCTTGTAGAGCATTTAGCTTTCTGAATATCTGCTGCATGTTGTATTCACTCTAGAAAGAATATTGTCTCTCTTTATTCACATTGTACATTTGTTTTTGCATGCAGGTAAAAATAATTAATGGTAAAAATAAATGAAATTCAGACGTATGTCCATTTCTTTCCTGGAAATTTACCATGTAAATATATAAATAAGTAAATTTGCTAATGTTTGAGTAACTTATTCTTAGTAAATAACATAAAGATTATTATTCCAAAAAAAATTATTAATCTAATAACACAAAACATATCAGATCTTAAAATTAAACCAGAATTAATAAATACTAATTTTTCTATTTCAGGAAAAAAGCTTCAGAATATACATTACGATTAATAGCAGAAGTCCTGCATATTATGAGACTGGATGTTGAACAAGCTTCATACAACCGGAGCACACTTGCAGTAGCAGAGCAATGCCTGCGGTTAGTCCGCTCCTGTGCAGCTGCTGGCACCAAGATGCAGACTTACATCTCTAAAGAACTCTCCATTCTAGACTCCATGCTTATTTTAGCCACAGAGTTTCAACATCCTAGTGTAGAAATACTGAATGAAGAGTTACAAAAGAAATTCGAAGGCTGCATGACAGTTTTGATACAAACATTAGGCAACCTTGTTGTTAATAATCCTTTTAATCAAATAATGATTTGGAACAAATTTGATTCAATCATCTTGAACTGTTTGATTGGACAGAATGATAAAATAGCTTCCGCAGCAGCTATGATAGTCTATAACATACTCTTAGGTCAACCAAATGTGTTGCCAGATGATGTATCTCTATTAAATTCACTTGCATACTTGTACAATAATGGCAACATTGAGTATCCACATTTAATTATTGAATACCTTATAGGTGTAGAGAACACTTATATAGAAAGATTATATTCTAAATTAGAACCTGAATGTAGAATGCTTGTTTTGAATCTTGCTTATAATATTTTAATGTCAACGGAGACACAGGATATAAATGTGTCAGTTAATTTTGTGAAGTTTATGGCGCATGAGTTTAAAAGCAAATCAGATTGTATTTTGAAGACTGTTGATAAATATGTGAACAATATTGAACCTCAAGAAGTTGTGTTTTTGTTAGAAATTATTGCAACAGCCTCAAGTATGGATGCATATATGGATTGTTTGCAAAATGACACATCTTTGTTCATCAATTGTGCTTGTAAGTTTAATTTACAGATATAGTATTTTATCACAGATAAAAAAAAAATTTTCTTTGAGCAATAAATTACATAAAATTGCAATAAAATATAAGTAGGGATGTATAGTGAACTGGCTATGAATAATTATTAAATACACCTCATTTCTTCCAGTTCTTCTTCGTGCCATTCATAAATTAGGTAAGGAGAGTAGTAATTTCTTTTCTTCAATCAACAAACTTTATGAAGCTACGGGCAAACATTTGATCAATGACGAAAATATATACAACAATAGCCCACCAGAAAGTAAGTAAATATTTTTTTTATATATCTTTTTGTATTTGAGCTATCATGCTGAAAATATTAATCAGAATGTTGAAAAAATTCAAAGTGACAGTGTTCAGAATTGTGTACTTTTTAACCGTCGGCTTCCACTGCCGTCATAGCGGTACAAATATATTGTCATCCTTCATGTTTACTTCTTAAAATAAAGGAAATAATTCATTTTTAGTATTTTGGTAGCGGAAATCCCACCAAATTATTTTGAATGAGTCACTATTGAATGATTGAACCGCTTGACAGTGGTAGTGCCCGCTTTAACATCTCAGCACGAATGGGCCGGCACGCCCGGTGTAATACCACGACCACACAAAAGACAGGCATGAAATAGCAGCAATTCCGTGTTTCGTCTGATGAGTGTGGTGTCGGAAGCCTAATTCAAGTCCCTTTCTCTTTACCACCCTTTTCTTATAATGAGAGGATGGGAAGGGGAAGTGGATTTGATGGAGGAGGAGATACATAGGAAGGGGAGATATCCTCTTTATGTGCGTCTCCTCTATCGGACAAGGGTAGGCAACGCATCTGCAATTGCGGATGACTATGGGCAGCGGTCGGTTCGCCATTTTGGCGGATTCAGGTGGCCGCTTGCTCGTTTGCCATCTTATGTTATAAAAAAAAAATGATTACAATAATCACTAAGATACTTTGGGTTTTCCATTTATCTTTTACCTAAAGCCGTAAGTAGCGTATTTTGTTCTCTTATATTTTCAGATCCTCTTTGTAAAAATGATTCTGCCGACAACATGCTATCTTGCAACGAAACGACATCCGAATGCACTGAATCGGAAAGCAGCGAACAATACTTCGAATGTAACGAAAATCCACCTTTCCTCGACAAAATGGAAACATTAAACGCACTAGATAATTTAAAATTCATGGAATCAATGCCTGATCCTAAAAGAAGTCCGGATTGCAATCCAAATGTTAAGATCGATAACGATTTGACCAAAGTTGCATTCAAGAGGAGTAGTTCTGTACCTAAGACTGACGAACGTATCTCTTTGCCGACTAGAAGAATCAGTTTAGAGCATAAAATAGATATCGGAGATGATAATGAACCTCCTTTGATTATTGATTCACAATCACCGTCTGGAAGTATGAATACAATAGCAGAAGTGATTCCTGTAGGACTTCAGCCGAGATTAGAATTACAAGAGGGAAGTAGAACTGATTCACAAGATAGTTCTCCGAATGATCCTCCAACTGAAATACATGTGCCGACTGAAGCTAAGGAAATTAAATCATCGCCTAGTGAAATATCCCCACCACTTTCTGATGCGGTACCCGAGATTGATTCACAGAAACAATCGCCAGATACACCTAAAGAGGTTAAAAAAAGTCAAAACCTATCGACGGATTTCGATCTAAGCGAGCAATTGCAGAAAATCTTAGGTATATCGGATAAAACGCGCGGTGATTCAACTAATGTGGAAAAGAAAACGGAATCGGTTAAAGAAGTGAAGTTAGCGGAAGAGAATCCTACAGCTAAGATACCGTCGGTTAAAATTGATTCGCCTGAAACTCAGAAAACAAGGTATATTTTCTTATTAATTTAATTAACATAAGTTTCCATTGCATAAATTGTGTGGTTATCATAGTAGTATTATAAATGCAAAGTTTAGATGGATGGATGGATGTTTGTTAGAATTTGTAGCATAAACGACTGAACAGACCTCCATGAACACATAGGCTACTCACTTTTGTTTTTTTCAATATCACGCGAGCGTAGTCGCGGGCGAAAGCTAGTTTAAAATAAATTAGAGTTGCCAATATATTTTTACTCTAGTGACAGCGAAGTAAATTATTCAACAGAGGATAATTATTATCCTTTAACCGTACATAAATAAAAAGTTTGACAAATTAAGACATCAGATAATTGGATTGAGTTTAAAATTTGTTTCGACCAACTTGGTTTTAAGATTTCTTTTTAATTCACGTAAATTGACCATATAGGTTGGGAGCGATAGACATGAACACTTCAAAGAAGGCAGTGACGTGCGTGGAGACGGTGGAGCGGCATGTCGCATTCGGCTTCAAGGCGGCGCTCGTGCGGACGCTCGCCAACCTCTGCTGGAAACACCAGGAGAACAAGAAACAGGTAAAATATGTCAATTATATGTCTTTTGCCTTTACAGTCGGGAAAACTAGCGGTGTTCCAACTTAAAAATCTTTGAACATTTTGAAACGAGACTCTGAACATCTTACTTCTTACTATCTCACTAATATTATAAATGCGAAGGTTTAGATGGATGGATGGATGTTTGTTAGAGTTTGTCGCCTAAACTGCTGAATAGATAACGATGAAATTTGATATATATGTAGACGATGGTGTGAACACACAGTCTTACTTTTGTTTTTTTCATAACATGCGGACGGAGTCGCGGACGACAGCTAGTAAATCAATACAACAAATCTTAGTGTTTGTACGAAAAAAAGTATTTTAGTATACATGGGTAGTTTCTTTTTATTATTATCCCTTCGTTTGCACTCACCGCTATTTAATAAGTTATTTGTAGGATAAGACGGAGTTTGTGTCGTTGCAATGTATAAGGCAATATTTCCTAAAGTCCAACACCGCGGATTTCCGCGACTGTACGTATGAAATGGTACAATTGTAATTATATTTCAGATGCGAGAATTGGAAGTTATTCCCGTGCTTTTAGATTGCTGCAACATCGATGCGCGTAATCCTCGTATCCTTTTTATAAACAGAATCTTTGATCGTGAAAAATGTTTTAACTAAATCAATTATGTTCCTTATAAAACTACAGTTATTATGCAGTGGGTGATTTTCGCAGTACGAAATTTGTGTGAGAATTGTCCGGAAAATCAGGTACAGTAACTAATTAAAAAGAAGTTTATAAATCAACAAAGAAATTATATTTAGAACCTTTTGGGTTTACGTTAAAAATATAAAATAAATATGAGTGTTTTATAATTGATTTGAATTCCAGGAGGTGATATCAAGAATGACGCTCCAAGGGCCCGTAGATAACGAGGTGCTACAAGAAATGGGGCTCACTCTGCACACAGATGCACAAGGAAATACCATAAAAGTAGCGCCATTGCCACGGGCTTAAAACATAATAGAAGAATAGGCTTCTTTAATAGCGATTCTATTTAATAGACAATAGTTTATTCTTCAAAATTCTTAAAATAAATGCTTTCTAGTTTGATTCTGAAGTTATAAAAGCATATAAATCAGGTATCCATTATGCTATATCGACAGTAGAAGCAGGATGTAAGGTAAATGAATGAACTTATATTCTTTTGAATTTGTACATTGTGTACGACGTAAAAATAAAATTGTGCTAAAACTGACTGGATGTTTCACTTTAATTTTAAGAAATATTTACGTACAGTAAAAATAAAAATAGTTACATAAATTATTGTAGGTTAAAAGAAAATTTACCATGTAAACCTACTTTTACTGTCAATAAAGTCTTTATTTTCTATCTGATTTAAATCTGTAAGACAGCAAATAAAGTTACAAGGGAAACCATAAAATTAACAATAAAAATCGACGAACCTCTACATATTTCAAAATAAAGCATTTCAAAAATAAATCGTAAGGTTTTTGGTCGAATTTTGCGTTGCAAAAAACTTGAAACTTCATGTTGACTTTGACATTTTCATTTACGACTCCCATATTATTGTTGTTTTTTCGACGAATACAGAAAGTGTTCATAAAACTTAGTTACCTTCAACCATGGTGAAAATAGCACTTCAAATTAAAGCGACATTAGAATGTGTTGAAAAATTATATACGAACCACCCGTACTATCAGTGGTTTTTGAAATTAAAATGTGGAAGTTGCGGCGAAGTGTCGGAAAAGTTTCACGATCTTACAGAAGCCGAGAAAGTTCCACAGAAACATAACAGATCTGAAACAAACCTGTTAATTAAATGCAAGTTATGTTCCAGGGAAAACAGCATAGACGTTATTGAAGGAAGCAATGGTACAGTTTTACAATGCAATAACCTATAAACTGTGAGAATTTTGTAACTATCTATTTAGTAATTTTATTTGCCTGTATGAAAGTTCTAAGATAAATTGTATAAATTTAAATAAGTATTTTCCCAGTTCAGTTAAACTATTTAATCAAGCATAGAAAAATTAAAAAGAATTTTGTAGCCAATGATTTCAAAAAGTATTCAATAAGATGTTCTGGTCATTTTCTTGCTTCATATTAAAATCTCTGTTATAGTACATAGCATTTGTTTCCAGGAATTTTCACAAGCAATGATTTGGGTAAATTCAAAACAATAGTAATATTTGACTGCAGAGGTGTGGAGCCGGTTGACTTTGAGCCAAAGTCTGGATGGATTGCAGAAGCAGAAGATGATGGTAATTGCTAAATTATACTTTTAATCTTGTCTTATTAAATTTAAAGATTAGTGGTATGTGATTCTTATCATACTCCTGTCCTTGTCTCATTCTATGTATGATATTTAACTTACTTTTATGCTTTTCTTTTGTAAATATTTTTTTTTTATTTAAATCGGATGTGAATTGCACAATGTGTTAAGCTGGGTACTGACAAATGTTACAAAGAGTAATATTTATATCATCAATTAAATAGAAAAATGAAGTTTATAAAATTTTAACTTTAAATGCTTGTCTTGTAAAAATGTAAATTTTGAATACTGCCATTTTTTATTTAACCAACTATATTGCACTGCAATATACCAGACCAACTATATACCAGACTATATACCAGAACCAACTATATACCAGAACCAAAGACGCAACCATCGTGGCTAAAAAATTAAAATGGAAATGGGCGGGTCACACAATCAGGGGCGAGGAAAAATGGTCGAAATTGTTAATGAACTGGTACACAAAGCACAAGAAGAGAAAAAGAGGCAGGCCATATACTCGATGGGTCGATGAGATCAAAGCAGCAGCGGGCAGCGCCTGGTCCAGAACGGCGAAAAATAGAAAACTGTGGTCCAACATGGAGGAGGCCTTTGTCAAAATGGCACACAGACAATAATTGTTTATAATTAATAATACATTATATTAGAACTGTTATTTATTGTCTGAATAAAGGCTTATATTATTATTATTATTATATTGCACTGCAAGTATTCCTTTAATCAGTACATAGTGAGTGTACACAATGTAACATGTTACAATACACTTTGTAACATCAGTTCCTAGCTTTATGTTATTGAATACTATTGGAAGTTAAATCCTCACTGCTATGAATAAGCTTAATACATTTAAGTATTTTCTAGTTGGTATCAGACATCCAAAGAAGGAACAACACTATTTTTATAATGTTCCTCAACCCACTGCTGGATGTAGGTCTTTCCCAATCCCTCCTAATTGCATTATAATGATGTTTTTATTATTACACAGGAAAGAAATTTGAAGATGTAGACCTCTCTGAGAAGGAATGGGTTGAATATGATGAAAAGAATCAAAACTCTGTTGGCATTTACGAGTTGGAGTGGCAGTTTGTTAAAGTTAAATAATTATTATAACATTTTAGTTATGAATGTATATATTTATGGTAAGCCTATATATCTAATATATTATTTCAAATTACTACCTACTGGTAACACTGTTGAAATTTATCTACACTATGTACTTGTTAAAAATCATAATTTATAATAAATTCATTTTTATTTATGTTTAAATTTTAATTTATATGAACCTTTTCAAAATAGAGCCTTTAATCAGTTTTTATGGTTTTGTTTTCATTATCTTGTTAAGGATTAATTTGTTTAAAAAATCTATAAAGAGTGTAATTGTGACCTTTTGTAACTTTGTTTAACACTTGTTTAAGTTATCTACAGTTTTGAAGTAAATTATTAGTTTTTATAGTTATCCATGACCTGTGAATTTCCACTAGTAGGTTGGTCCATTAGTTGGTTGTTTAATATAAATTTTCTGTATTTTGTTCAGTCACTCAGCACAATAAGCAAGCAAAACACACCTGAGATTACAAGTAAAGTGTTCTCATTTAAAGTTCGGCAACTCATCTCTAGCTAAAAACTTCCATGCAAGTTGTACATGTGCAAATGTATATGCCAGATACAGGCATATGCTAACTGGTATGCCAGTGGATAGCACGATATTGGACTTTGTGATAGTTAAGGAAGGAGATGAGGAGTTTTACAAAGGATACTGACATAAATTCCCGTAAACTGGCATTCAAGCTACATTTGACTGACGTGTATTCCTGCCCTTACGCATTTACATATAATGATTATCATTTCGATCTAATCACTGAAGCGTCAAAACTATTGAATGAGGAATAGGAAGTGTTGAACGAAAGTATACTGTTTCGGTCCACTTGGTTCGCGAAAACGCAACATGCGTCTACAATACAACGAAACTCGCAATGCTATCGAAAGAAAAAGTTATATGCAATATGTTTTTTAAGATACATGCGTGAAGTTACCTATACGTTGTTTTTATTGTAATAGGAACAAATAGTACTACTTAACGAGATTGTGTTGGTAGAAACTTGTTTCATGTTAGTAGGAAAAACCGGTATGAAGCAAATAGATCTCCAAAATTCTTAAAAAGACAAAAAATAGTATCACAGCATCACTCATTTACTCATACACACAGCGTTCCAACAAATAACAAGCGCAACGCTTTATTGTTTCTATTAGATACTAAAATAAACCTATATTGTAAACTAATGAGTCTTGATTTCAATATAAATAAATTCTCTAGCGTCACGGAGTTTCCGTTGAAGTTGAGGTAACGCCATCTTCTGTCACGGTTTTGAACCCTGTGAAACCAGTATTCCCGTGAACTGTAACCGTATGCTCTGGAGTATCCGTTGAAGTCTCTTCAGAAGTGGCCGCTTCCCTGACAAAGTTATCACCTCCTTTACTAACGAAGGAACGATCATTGCTGTAAACCAAAGGATGATGAATGAAAATCGGAACCTCAACTGGCACCTTAACCGGAACTTTAACTGGTACTTTTACCGGATAAGGAACTTTAACCGGATACGGAACCTTTTTTTCAACCGGATAAGGTCTCGGCACATACACCGGCACACGTTTCTCAACTTCCACTCTCTGAGGGATGTAAACTTCTACTGGAACTTTTTTCTCAACCTCCACCGGGTAGGGCACTCTTTTCTCAACTGTCACTTGTACTGGACGTGGAACTTCAACAGGATACGGCTGTGGCACAGGCACTCTGACGGCTACGTGTTTTATTACTTCCACCGGTTCTTTCACTCTTACTTCAACAGGATACGGTACTTTCTTTTCAACCGGATACGGTTTGGGTACAAACACTTTTACGGGGACGGGGTAAGGCACTTTCTTTTCGACCGGAAATGGTACGGGTCTATCCACGGGCACCCGAACGTGAACCGGATAAGGCACTTTCTTCTCTACCGGGTATGGAACCGGATGTGGGACTTTGACTTCCTTTACTATTGGCACGTGATGAATGATCGGGTACGGTTTTGGAATATATTCCTTCTCCACAACTTTGACCGGTACAGGATGTGGAACTTTAACCTCCACCGGATATGGAACTTTCTTTTCGACCTTGACCGGATAGGGTCTGTCCACTATTTTCACCTTTTCAACCGTGACCGGAACGGGCACTTTCTTTTCGACCGGATAGGGTTTAGGCACTTCCACCTTGTACGGGACTCGAATGGGTTTTTTCACAGTTTTGACGTATCTGTGGTGATGATGATGGTGATGGTGCTTTATTTTGGTGAAAACTTTTGGAGGCGGAGAGGGGGCTTGGTGTGTTTGCAGGCCGGCGACTATAAACGGCGTGGGCGAGTGCAGCCCCCGTGAGCTGTAAGCAGAATACAGATAGGGATTCAGTTGTTTTCTCTTGAAGAAAACCATTTTTTTCCTCTCCAGCGCCGGTGTTAATGTTTTTGCGGCATTATTGGCCGGCACCAGTCCGTACGAAGGAAAGAGTAGCGTCTGTTTTCTCGGTGTGTACGTTAATTTTGGTTGTGGATAAAAAACGTCTGATCGTCTGCTTATCGGCGTTTGAGCCTTTTGTTTGAATATAGGATAGTGCGTTGGTATTATTGGTATCCAGTCGTTAATTTCGTCGAAGTTACTTTTTACTTTTTTTTTGGGAACCCTCGTAAATCGGCGGTAGCCTCTGGCGGTAGGCTGAGCTGTAGTAGTTGTAGTTGTAGTTGAGGATTGACTTATATTATTAATTGTTTTGAGAAACTTAAATCGTATATGTGTGCTCTCAGATGGTGCGTGGTCTGTTGAGTTGGTACTACTTTTCGTTTCAGTCATGTTTGAAGACTCCGTCGTGTTGCTAGCAGTCGCGTTCATCTTCTCTAGAATTCTCTTAGGCCATATTCTCTTTGTCCTCAACACTCTAGTCGTAGTCGTCGGGGTTGTTGTGGTCGTTAGGGTGGTGTAATTAAATATTGGTGGTCTGACCCAGTCTGATCTTATGCCGTTAATAGTCTGAACGGGTAAACTAAATTTTGGGCTTTTCGCTACGTACGACTTGCCAGTCGACGCGGCGAATACGAGTGGTGGTTTCGGTGTTTGAGTCTTATAATAATGATGTCCAGGTAATGGTATGACTCGAGGAAACCTGATCAATGATTTTTGGTATGAGTGTAATTTATGTGGTGATATTGGGTATGAGTTTTCTGTAGGTAGTCTTGGTATTTGGCCGTAGTACTGTTGTGGTATTTCTAATAGCTTTTTCTTAGCGTTGTGAGAGGGTCTAATTGGCGGTTTGCTTGGTGGTCTCAGTTCAGGCTTATAAGTGTAGTTAGTTATAGCGAGTCGCGACGGCTGTGGCTTGGGTGTTGAGGTTAGGTTTACGTACGTTGGGCCGTTTATAATAGTCACAAGTTTATTCTTCGCCTCCTCGGCTAGCTGGTCTTTTCCGCTTTTGTTCTGTACCGTCGCGCCACCATCGTTGACGACGATCGCTAACGCAATGATCAGGAATGCCGTCTGCAAGAAAATAAATATACGTTGTACATTAAAAGCGGATTTCAGGCGGCACTGCTGATGGTATTAATCGAATTATTTCTGGTTACAGTTTTATTAAAAATAATAAAAAATAATAAGATAGTTCACATTGGATATCGGAACAGAGATAATGTAATTTTTTTGTAAACACAATTAAAAGGAATAAATTGATTAAACCAACTCTCCTTCTAAGGATATCTGATACCTTTTACAAGTAAAATATCCTTATAATTGAAATAAACACTGTCACAAATAATCACTATCACCGTAAATGTTTTTTCGCACAAAAATCACTTTCACTTAACATCTCACTGGCAGTTTGACATTTGGTTTCGCGCGCATTTTTTAGATTCGTAGTGTTGTACCTACCGATAATTGTTGCATAGTGTGGAGCGGCGGCTTCTAGCGAACATGTACGAATTGCTGCGTCCAAGGAAGCGTCACTCACTTAAATAGCATACGGTTGGGCGGGAACGTCCACTTTCACTGAATAAACTTGGATTATTGTTAGTAAACAAACTATTATATAAAACATTAATATAATAAACACTTAAAAATATATATCGATTTTTTTGAGCTTTCAACTAGCAAATTTCATTCGTAGGTGAACAAAAGCTAACTTGACCGGACGCTTGTGATGAGAGTATGAGAGAGTGGTTGGACACTTGTTGCAGTTGGTCAGTGATCCGTAATCCGACCAATCTTTATGGAGTAACTAAGGTTCGCTAGAAGAATACGAGGATTCGATAAAGCATATCTCTTCGATACTCAAAAGTAGAGAATTTGTGTAATTATTGTTTTTGCAGATGCAATAGTCCACATTTACAATTTAACAGTTAAAAGGGTAATTTAAACATAGTTCAGGGAATTCTCATAATTTTGTACCCACTTTTAAAATTCATTATTTTGTGCATATGATCGAGTTATGCGTATCTACATTACGAGCATACTATTGCGTTTTCGAAGAATCCATTAAATGTAATATTAGAAGTTACCTTGTTACCGAACCTTCCTACTTCCGTTGTTCCGCACAAACTCCTTAAACACAAATTGTTAATTACACAACCCTGTTAATTTTGCACGCAAATCGAACAAAATTATTTGGTTATTCAATTGCACGATACACATTAAATCAATTATTACGCAATATCAAATATTTGAATAATTATGAAAGTGTAATCGTATTATAGTTTTTCTGCTTAGGTTAATCGTAACTCATCTCTGAAATCGATGTAATAATAATAATCGAATGTGAATATACTTAGGATAGGATACCTTTAGAATAAGCAGAAAAAAGCTGATAAAACGTGCGGTAAATCTTTGTATTTATAAATCTTAAAACCGATCAAGATCGTTTTAAATACATTTTCTAATGCAAAGGTTTTAATTGTAGATTGAAGAAGTGTTGTTTGTCTAAAGGGTGGAGAGGGAACGAAGAAATAAAGCTATAGAAATAATATAAAAACGTTTTATTTCTCATTGAATCTCTTTCAATATTTTTAGTCTATATTTATCATCGGGGAATCGCAACTTGACAATCTGCCTAATCTCTTCACACGCGTAGTATTGCAGTAATAGCTTATCTGTATGCCACAGATCCGTTATTTCAAGCAACTGAGCTTTTAAAAGCTGCGGCATTTTACTGAACTTCACCCATATATTAATTTTATTATCCAATTCTACCTCCTCTTCAAATAATGAAATAATTTCAGCCATAGTATCTTCAAATCTAACGGCCAACATGTAAACTAACTCTTCAGTTATTGGCTTACTATCTGCAAATAATCGGTCCAACATTGCTTGACACAGAGCTTGGGCTAAAGTACAGATAGACAGCTCGTACATTCTAATGGGAAGAACATTGTACCAGCTGCTTTTAAGATCCTTCATAAGGTTTAATGAACTTTTTATTGCTGCATCAAATGTTTGGTATGACTCATGTGTCCAGGGTAGTTCTAAAAAAAATATTAAGGTTGATTTTATTGATAAAATAAACATAATTATAAAGTGACACAAAAAATAATACATTTGTTATTGATTGGACATCTAGTTATATATGTGTCCTGATATTGGGTAAGAGGGTGTTACAATAGATGTTATATACAAAGTATTGAAGGTAAAAGAAACTAAAAATATTACTAAAATCAAAATTACTGAATAAACCTTATTATAAATTCATTTGGTAAGTATGGTGTTCAAAGCTTCAACCACAATTAATGTACCTACCAGTTTCTTCAATGCTCTTAACAATAGTATTTCTTTGAGTCTGTAAGTATATTGAGATTTTTTCCAAACCAACAACTCTGAGGTCTTGAATACATTCTAAGAGTACTGTAGTCAGTAGATCAGCTAGACATGTAGGCAGAATATTCTTCCAGGGTGGTCCGATCAGGCTATGTGCCAAATAGAAACAGTTGTTGAAGAATAATGCTGAAAAAATGTACCATTTATTACTCTAAAATATATATTCTAATAGTATATTTACACAATACAAATTACTATTTATTTTTCATAGAAAATGTTGTAAGGCATTTTAAAGAAAACTGGATTAATAGTTTAAACAAAATTAGCAACACTAAAACAGTTAAATAACTTATATGTGATTTTAAAAATAATAATTAAAAAATGACTTACCAATATCCAAAGGACAAAATTCCAAGTTGACTTTAAACTTTTTAGGTACCAAGCATTGGTACATAACAGCAATATCTCTTATGTACATAACAAGCTGCCTGCTGTACTCTTCCGGAAGCTTTGTACTTTCTTCCAAATGTTCTATTATCATTGCCATTATTTTCTCCACATTTTTTGAGATCTTACATTTAGATAGGAAAATAGGATTATTCAGTTCCCACAAGCCATCTTTACTGGGACAGTTACTAGAATCCAAAACTGAATCATTTGGAATATCGGCTACATTCCCTGCGGTGATTGTTCCAAAAGACAAGCTTTCATCAAGCATATTTCTTACATCAGATAGCAATTTATCACATTTCTTACGATACAAAACACATTCTGAGTTCTCTATGTATTTGTTAAGTGGTGATTCATCTGCTTCAACAAATTTTAAATCTACTAAAAATTTATTAAACGACTCCAACTCTAAAACAATATTCTTATAATTCTCATAACTACTATCACATGAAGGTAAGTTATTTCTGATGCAGTCTTTTATTATCTTGTTGCAAAACTTTTGTTTAATTGACTCGGCAAATACTTGTATGAAGTTTTTACCATCCTCAAACTGTCCTAAAGTTGATTGTAGAAATTCAAAAACTGCAGTTAAGTTATTGAATATAGTTTGAAAGTTTGGTTTGTTGGGATCATTTAAATCTATCTTGATATTAAATACTAAAGCTCCTAAATAATCTTCAGTATAAATGTTACAGTTGTGTCTTATCACATTATGTAATAATTTATCAATAAAGAAATGTGAAAATAAACCGAGTTCTGCATTTAACCTTTCCGTAACATAGAGAGATTTTAAAACATTTTGTATTAAAACTGGATCACTCTGCTGTATTGATAGAGAGTATGTAAGATGATAAATGCTTTTTTTCTCTTCCCAGCTAAAGATGTCCTCCCATTCTATGCTGAGTTGTGCAGTGTACATAGCTAATTGGTTTTCAGCCTGATCGTTGAGTTTCGATAGTGCTTTACATGCGTTTCCTTCAAATTTAAGTGATGCCAGTTGTTTGCGCAAATTGTTAACACTTACCATGGCGTCAATGTAATTATATCTACCGAATTCATGACTTGCCTTATTCAGAATTTGTTTCCCTTCCACAACAACACATAAGTTATTTAAAACTTTCATAGCATTTTCTAATTTTTTACAACAACCACAAAATTCTTCATTCAATGTTTCAGACTTTTCATTCACTACCTTTACGTTTTCTAATATTTTGTTATAATCGGCTAATATGTTAGATTTGCGATTTTCATAGTTCAGTTCTTCTAAGCTTTTGGTAGGCGTAAAATTACAAAATGTGTCTATAAAGTTTTGCTGTAGAGCCCATGAAAATAATTGTACTCTTTCTATTAATTCTTTTAATATTAGTAATATTTCTTCACGTTGTTTTTTTACATTCTCCTTTATCGTTTTATCAGCTTCGTGTAAAACAGAACTTATCGAACTCATAGTTCTTGAGTATTTTCTTTAAAAACTTTAACAATAAACAATGATAAATAAAAATATCACAAGTATCGGTTCCAAATTTTAAACAATTTCAAAAATTTGAATTGGTTTGACAGCTACCGGCTTTTGAAAATGCAGATTATATTCGACCAAAGATTAAATGCACAGATGTAAAATTTTGGTATGTCTGCTTATAAAAATGATAAAAAGGAAAGCAAATAGAAAAATCATTTTAACGAAATAAAATGTTTTGTTTTTAAAATACTACTATTCAAATAAACTATAACAGAACACCAACTGATAGGATGGTTGCTAACGATTGTTTAATCAATTTCGGAAAGAACGGAAAAGGGTAAAGAGTTTTGCATTAAAATGAATGAAAACGAAATTGATGTCCTTAGAAATGAACTGGAACATGAAAAAACATGCAGGTACTTAAATTTAGAAGATTTTCCATACATTCAAAATATAGACCAAACTTTAACTTTACAATTTTTTAAACAGAGAAGCTGCAGCATGGCAGAATACAGAAATTGAGAAACAAATCGTTTCTATGCAAGAGGAATTACGAAAATCTGATTATCCTTGGGATAAAGATGATGACTTGCAGAAGGAGAGTGCAAGACATAAGCAACTGCTAGATGCTATAGAAACGCTGAAAGACCAATTGCCTATTTTGAAAGAAAGAATTAAGAATGCTAAAGTGTGTGGACCAGGTGTGTTTGGGATTATTTCCCATATTATTTGAGATGATTAGTATTTAGATATGATTCAGGAAGTTAAAATAATGATTATTTTTCACTCAATGTACTGATTCTGGGAACATTCATTACCTTTTTGATTTCAGATTGTAAATTAAAACACGACGACCTCAACATCAACTTAGACATTCTTACGCCTGTAAGTATTTCTAAGTCTTTTTTTTTTTCATTTTGTTGTAACTTTTAATCAATTCAGTCAAATATATTTTCGCAGGCTGAACTTCTGCGTACAGTGAAAAGATTTGAACGACTCAAAACGGATTTAATAAGTACATTACGTAGTAAGGAATGGCGGTTGGACTCGGAGTCTAAGGTAAATATAAAAATTCGCTTAGAATTAATAGTTTGTGATATAAATACTTGTTATTTAATTTCGTTAATTGATTTCAGTTGTTCGTACGTGTGAACGATCAGAGGACTTATCTTCAGAACGAACTTATGATATGTCACAACAATATAATGCGTTTGCAAAGGAATGGAAGTTATTGGCAGTGAGTAATTTTTCAAAGGGTTGCATGTAAAAATGCTCTTAAAAATCGTTACACTGTATCTGGTTTGAAAAAAATTGTTAAATTTTAATAGGTATTTCCTTCCAGGAATATTCCCCGTAAAAATGACGAGAGAATCTTGGACCCAAAGCGAGGACCTATAAAGAAAATATTTTGCAACGACCGTCTCCCGCCAATTGTCACCTAGTGGGTCTACCAAAAGTCGTATTTTGGTAGAATTTTAAATAAAATTTGTCACACAGTAGTACAATGTAGAAAAATGGTAGTTGCAGATTATTTATGCAGTGTGTTAAAGATTTATAGATTAAAAGAATTAGGGTGTCTAGGATTAGAGGTATAATTTACATCTAAAAAATTAAACACATGATTTCACTAGTACTAATGATAAATTATAATTCAAACTAAACAGCTTTGTTTTAATATCCACTATTGTAATTAAAAAATACAAATCTATATACCTAAATCTCTACATAACTAATGTACTTAATTACAAATAATTTATACATCTTAAAACAATGTTTTATTTAAATATTTATTTTTCTACATAAGTTTAATATCTAGTATATTTAGCATATCTATCTGGGAAGTCGACGTCTGTTGAATATTCGTCTGAAACAGAATTCTCGTAAATCGCAAGCGGCTTCTTATAAAGTGGAGCTGTAAAAGAAAAATCTAATTATTTTAAAGTTATAAACAAATAAAAAAAGTGTTTAAAGGTAAACGGAATCGTAGATAACAACTAGTATAAATTTATACGTAAACGCAACATCATAATTCGTCTGTCTTTATATAAAGATTTCTTATATCTCCTGCTCGCACTCGTTGAACGCTACGTAAGCGTGAAAGAGACGACAATATTTTGTATGTAACACAAAACGCAACTCGCACCCGTGCACCTCTCGCTCGCACTCGTTTACATCTACGTACGGGAGAGAGAGACAAAGATATAACATACGCAGCACACAATGGTGCCTGTCGAGATGCAGCCGCAGATGTCGCGGGCAGGCGCACACGTATCCGCCCGCCACGTTCACGCACGCGAACTCGCACCCGTGCACCTCCTGCTCACACTCGTTCACATCTGCATAAGATAGAAAGGGACGAATGACAAACATAAGTAGGTAAGTTGTCAGATTTGAATAAATTGTTATTTTTATGCTCAATTATAAAAGTGCTTACTATTTTTTAATGATTGATGTTCATTAAAAAATAAGAGATTCAAATTAAACTCCCTTTACAAAGGCTTAGATTTTAATTTTGCTTCTTTTTATAAAGTCGATGGGGAAGTTAACCGAACGAATATGTCACAGATTATGTAATGTCATTGACAAAGGCACGTTTATAGACTACAAATATGAAATTTGTACAGAGTAAAAAATCTGAAGATAATACAAAATGTTTTTTAGGAGCGACGCGAGTAATTAGTACTGGTTGATAAATAATATCAATCTAAGTTGCAATTGAAATCTTATTGTAGTGGACTGTTTGACAAAATAAAAACTTCTTCTCGGAGATACTAACGCCTTTATTGCTCTCAAAATACTGGACCTCAAATAAGTTAAATATTGTCTATTTATATTTCGCCGCGACCTCAATAACTGCTGCCTCGTGCCATGATTTTATTAGTTGTTGTTAAATCAAAGAGACCGCGTCCTTCGCCGCGCGCTGCCAACGAAACATCAAAGGACGCGACGACAGGGCGGCCGCGGTCATCCGAGGTTACACGTGCCGCGAGGTGCATTCAAGGGCGGCACGTGTAACAGCGAGTAGGCATAGCAATTACGTCGCCAACACTTATATTTCATAATTATGCCAAGTTATTGAGAGGTAATGGCGATGTGTAAAGTATTGAGGGTATACCTATGCAGCGCAGGCCGGCGGCGCGCGCGGCGTAGCCCGCGGGGCAGCTGCAGCGGTACCCGCCCGCGGTGTTGCTGCACACCTGCGTCGCGTGGCACTGGTTGCTGTCTATCTCGCACTCGTCCACATCTATATATAAATACATTTTCAAGTTTTTTTTTATACTATAAGGTGGCAAACGAGCAAGCGGCCGGTATTCGCCGAAATAACGAAGCGACCGCTGCCCATAGACAACCGCGATTGCAGATGCGTTGCCTACCCTCAGTCGACGGAAGGGGAGACACACATAAACAGGCTATTTCCCTTTCCTATGCCTCACCTCTGTCGAATGCAATTATCCTTCCCATCCCTTTCTGTTAAGTAAGGAAAAGGGACTAAAATTAGGCCTTGCGCACCACATTCATCAGACTACGCAGAATTGCGCCCACTTCACGCCTGTCTTCTGTGTGGTCGTGGTATTACACCGGGTGAGCCGACTCATTCGTAGGAAGACGTTAAAGCGGGCTCTACCACTGTTATTATACCGATAAGAATATCTGACCAGGTGGTAAGTGAAACCAAATTATGAAAGCTCATTAGAGACTTTGACGTCATTTTCTATGTCTACATGTGTTTTACGTATTTTACGACAGCTAAAGTAAAAAGCAATGAATACGACTTTCGAAATAAATGACAAGCTACAACCCGACAAGAATCTTTAAGACAGAAGGGTCATGGGGGTGTCCAGTCGGTGATCTAGGAGGGGGGGCTGGCGGATGATTAAGGGGGGTTAAAAGTAAAATTACATTTTTTATTCAAAGACAATGACTATAAATATGTAGTATTTTTAATGAAAATCTGCCAAATTGTTTAAGTATAAAGGTTATATAAGTTACCTTTGCAACTTTTATCAGTTGCATTATATCTAAAGCCAGCACTACAAGGTCCGCGCTCGCTGCGGTCCAAGTTCTCCGTCACGTTCACATCGAAGTACATTTGAGATTTTTTACCTGAAAATTAGGAATAAATCATTTAATATATTTTTCCCGAATGGACGACATACAAGGCACTGCAAAAGTACTCATTACTGTGTTTCGGAAGACATTTAATAGTACACTTTCCTTTTGCACTTATCTATACTAATATAAAGAGGAAAACTTTGTTTGTTTCATTGTAATGAATAGGCTCAAAAACTACTTAACCGATTTTAAAAATTCTTTCACCGTTAGAAAGGTAATTTATCTGCGAGTAACATAGGCTATACTTTTTCATTTCTTTTTTATAATTTTTTAATTTCACGCGTACGGGGTCGCGGGCAAAAAAAGGTTACGCTTGGTAGAAAAGGTTTTGGCAAAACAACTTCGGCAAACAATTTCGGCAGCTCATGGACAGTGGCCTCTTCGCTATTTCTAAGTATCTAAGTGACAGTTTGCTTGGTTTACCACTTTGAAAAGTAAAATATACTAAAACCTGTAATATATACACATTTTTATTTCAAATAATATAACTAGTGACTTTTTAAGTGATAATTTCTTACCACTTGGTATATAAATTTCCTCCGGGTCTAGAGATTTTCTATAGTCAAGTTCATCAGGTTGCATCTCTATAGTTGTTTCCGGTAAATATGAAGTTAAATTCTGAAAATATCATAACTGCATAATATGACGAAATAAAGGTTAAACAATATCTATTTAATTCAAAATGACTTACAGTTTCATTATTTTCTTGACTAATATAAACTTCATTTTCATGTCTCGATTGAGGACTGCATTTTGGTAAGTTTGGACACTTCCTGATCTATCGTAATAAAAAAAAAAATATTTATGTCTATATAATTCGTTTATTTTTTTATTTATCTTAAGACTATAAAAATATAAATACAAATGTTTAGATGGATAGATATTTGTTTGCCCCTTATTGGCTATGATATTGTTAATTAACAAAATTGCCAACTGCCATAGATCCTTGTAGGTCTATTATAATGGGCGACTATATAAGCTATAAAATACTCCAAGCACATGAACGTAACAGTTGGTATTCAATATTATAACAAACTAGTTTTCGCTCGCGACTCCATTCGCGTGGAATTAAGATGAACAAAAACTAAAGTTAATAGCGTAAATTTCATCGAGATCCGTTCAGCAGTTAAGGCTACAAACATTCATCAATCTAAACTTTCGCATTTATAATGTTAGTATTGTTAGGAACAAAATTAGTACCGTGCTGTAGAATTGGCACAACTCTAGATTATTTGGCATAAACGTCACGTCCCTAGCTGACAGCTGACAGCTGTCAATGTCACTAGAAGTATGGATAGATTGGCGCGCAACCGGAGTCCTAACGAGAAGTGTTGGTCTGAGTTTAAAGCGACAGTATCAATTAAATAACTTGTCTAAAAGTATGATGATTTAAAATGTAAAATTAAACTAACACGAACTTATCAGTTCCGTGCAGTGTTACCTCTGTTTAATTCAAAACTTTAGTATTTTCGCATTGTATTACAATGTAACAGGTTTGAAATTGTGCAAGAATGTCATAGATAATAAGATAATAGTTGATGTAATACTTGTAGGTTATCCCCTGCGCAGAGGCGCGCCCGGCAGCGTCGTGCGCGCGCCTGCGTGGCCGCGCCGCACGTGGCCGAGCACGCGCCCCAGCGGGACCACGCAGACCACGCAGACCACGCAGACTGCTCCTCCTTCTACAACAGTATACAGGATTAAGAGCGGATCCATCTTTGGCGCCAGAGAGGGTCACATAGTCGTGGTCAAGTCAAGAAATTGACTAAATATATAAATATATTTTGTCAAGCTCATGACCAACCATCGCTGCAGGGTCATGACCCTCCCCCTGGATGCGCCGTTGTACAGAATGTTACATATTACAGTATCAAGGCTTTATGTACAGTGTGCTTAGTTACAAAATATCATACTGTATATAATAAACCAAATATATGGTCAGTATATTAGTGTGGTGGTACATATTTATCGTAAAATATATAAACACGTTGATTATATCAATCAGTGGTCAGAATTAAGACATGTTTAATTAGACTGTGTCTAAATATTATATTTTTTTAGATATTACAGATGAAGTTTAAAATATATTTACTTACTTCACAAGATGGCATGTGACATTTCCTTTTGTCGATAATCGACCCTTTACACGCGCTCTCGTCTAGAATTATTTTATCTGTCGCGGAGTTTTTATCTGTAAGTTACAATTGGAACAATTATTAAAGCGTTTATCGTTTAGCAGGATATAAACAATCTATCCCATCGGCCTTGTCAGTATATGATATAAGGGGACCTTCACGCTCTTTTATCTCCTAGCCTTTGTACAGTCAGCTGCATAAAAAAGCTTTAACAACTTGTGTAAGTCTCGATTTTAAAAACATACTTATGAATTCATATGTATGACTATGAATGAAATTATCGACGAATACGTACAGAAATATTTTTAGATCAAGTATATACTAGTATGTGTTTTATAAATGTGTACATATTTATGCAGCTGACTGTACTTATTATTTTACCCATAGTGAAATGTCTTACCAATAGTATTATTGTTGTCATCAATATAATGACAGAATCTAGAGCGCGTCTGATATCCCAAGCCGCACGTCACATTGCAGTAACTCCATTGAGACCAAACACTCCATTTACCAGGCACTAAAAATAATACATTTGCGAATATAAACGATGTCGATGACAATTACAACACAAAAATAGAAAGAAATATAGTAATTAATTCGAAAATCAATTCCACTTTGTCCACTTGTAGGCTAAGAACCGATTTTTGAGTATGTTTGGCATGGGAACTTTGATTTTTTGCTGATATTGGGTTGTAGTTTTTGTCCCTTTCTGGCACAAAGATTTTCCCAATTTACTCGCCCCAAAATAATAGCGTGAAAATATATAGCCTAAAGCGTGTATAAGTTTAGGGAGTTATAAAAAGATTACAGTAAAAATTACTGACATCTTACATAACAAAGAAGTGTATTTACGTTTGAGTATATTATTACTAGCTTTCGCCCGCGACTCCGTCCGCGAGAGACTAAAACAAAAGTAAGTATCCTTTGTGTTCTTCCTGATTCTCCTATACATCTCTGACAAATTTCATCAAGATGGGTTCAGACGTTTAGGCTACAAACTCTAGCAAACATCCATCCATCTAAACTTTCGCATTTAAAACATTAGTATAGTATAGTATAGTTAACCTTTGACTGCGATGTTGTACCGGCGGGAGGCAGTACCGGCGCTGTTCTCCGCCACGCAGATGTATTGCCCCGCGTGTTGGCCGCGCGCGCTCCACACCGCCAGCAGGCTGCTGCCCAACACTGCCTGGATGTGAGCCTCGCTAGCACTCACACGCTGAATGTCCTGTACGAATGAATATACAAGGAAATTTAACAATAGATGGCGTTGTTATCAATTGATTTTTGAATAGAGATAATACAAGTCATTTCAACACTAGATGGCGTTGATCACAATTGATCGATGCTTAAAAAGAAAGTCCACATATCATTTCAATGACTATTAGTTGTGTTACACATTTACAGCACTGAGAAGCATATAATTTAGATTAAATATGGAAAATCTACACTGAGGGCCACTCATAGTGATCATTAAAACATGTAGAGTGTGCCACAGAGACAAATTTTTGACACTGATTTGAGCCGCGTACTCATATTCCTGTTACTATTAAGGTCTGTCCCACCACTGGCTACTAGAGGCTTATATAGCTTAAAAATACGGTCACTGTCAGATAATGTAACAAAATTCGACATTTCCATTACATATTTAAGTCGTTAGATTGTTATCAGACAATTTACAATTTGGTGGGACTGGCCCTTAGAAGATATAAAAAATATAAAATACCTTTAACCAAGTAATCTTAGGTGGGGGATGTCCGTCAACGTCACATTGAAGTACAATGCTGCGTTGCAATGCCACCACATGACTCTCTGTGGTGTTATTGCCTACATTACCGACGATGGACGCCGGCTTCTCTATAATCACGTTAAAGTTCACTTCGGTAGCACCCACTTTGTTTGTCATTATACAAGAATATAATCCACTGTCGGTAACTAAAGTGTCATTTATTACCTGAAATAAATATAGACGTATTAAATAGTAAAATACGAGTTTTGATATGTGTTTTTCAACACTTTATTATAAGAAACAGGAAAGATTTGTATTCTTTCTCAAAAACTACTAGACCAATTTTGAATTTTTATTGTATCGCTGAGTAACACATGCTATACTTATTATTTTTTTATTGATTCCGCCCAGACCAAGTCCACCGACTTTTTGCCAACGCAAAAAGTAGTACAAAACACAATTATTATTTTAAATATCTAAAAACAAAAACTGAAATAACAAGTCTGAAGTGATACTTACTAAAGTAACATTGTCTTCACTTAATTGTACCCGTGGAGTATTTTCACTGATCTCCATATAAGGATGTTTGATCCACATCACATAAGGCCGGGGCGCGCCCTCTACTGGACAAGTCAGGTTTAAAGCTTTGCCCATTCTTGTTCTCAATACTTTAGTACTTTCTTTTGGTTGTGGCGGAGGTACTGAAAATTATATAAATAATTTTCTTTTTAATATATTACAAGCAGATAAATTGCCAAAATGTACTTATAAGCAAACATTTTATAACAAAAGATCAAAATTAGGAATAACGCCATCTAGTTTGTAAATTTTGAAACTTTTCGCATCTAGAGACTCATAGTAAATTTAACCCTCAATATATAAAAGTAATAGTAAATTTTCAAGATATTTTGTACAAGGCATTAATTTTCAAGCATGATAAACGAGAAAATAAATAAAATAATAATAAAACTCACCTAAAACATCAACTAAGTAAACCAATCCTGTTTCTCCTACTTTATTTTTTGCTATACAAGTATAATTGCCTGTTTGTTCATACTTAGCGTTTGGAGATTGAATTATTTCATTATAATCTGTAGATATCATTGTATTGTCAAATAATTTTAAGGGCATATCATCTTTAAACCAATATATTTCAGGTAAAGGGTTGCCATATGGATGACAGTGCATATAAAATGCTTGCCCTGAGAGTACTTCTAGATTTATTATATTTGTTAATGACTTCTCTTGGAATAGATTTTGGAATATTTTCGGTGGCTCTGAAAATATTAAATGATAATTGAATAAATTCATTTATTTTAAGATAATTAATAAGAAATAAATAAACAAAGAGATAAATGTAATTATATGGAAACAGAATCAGAAACAGAATAAATTCAGTAGTATTTGATTAAAAAGATATTTAAAAGCACGATTTTGAGCTACATAGGCGATAAAACTTTACAGTCAATTATTTTTATAAATAAACTTTTCAATCTGACGTAATTAACTTAAAACATCTTACCCAAAACATCCAGTTTCATTTTTCTCTCATCGACTCCACCTTCATTGGAGGTCACACAAACATACCAGCCAGAATCCGATTTTGCTACTTCTTTTATAATTAAATCTGCGTAGCTGATATTTGCTGTGTTATTACTGACAGTGTTGCCATATCGTATCCATTGTATATTGGGTATCGGTTTGCCGGCACCTTTGCAAGCGATACGGATATAAGAACCTAGCTGTAATAAGGTGAAGCAAAAGATTATATATTGCTTGCGACTTCGACCACGTGAAAATAAAAAATAACAAAAAATGTAGTCTATGTAACTCAATGATAACGTAGCTTTTTAATCATGAAAGAATTTTTAAAGTAGGCGCAGTAGTTAAGAGTTAATTCAATACATACAAAAATACAAATCTTTCCCTTTTCTTTTGGAATAGAAAAATAGATCGATTGTCATAAAAAATCATAAGAAATTGTCTTGTTTGAGTGTATTGTTTTACTATACAGTAAAACTAGATTCTAGATAGTATCTAAAATACACTTTTAAATACTACTCAGAATTAGGTAAGACTTTAAAACAAATTCAACCTTGTCGTAAGGAGTAAAGATAGATATTATATAAAATCTATACAATTATTATAAAGAGAAAAAAAATTGTATTTTTGTATGTATTGAAATAACTCAAAAACTACTGGTCTGATTTTAAAAATTCTTTCACCGTTAGAAAGGTAATTTATCTTTGAGTAACATAGGCTGTATATTTTAATTTCACGAAGGCGAAGTCGCGAGCAACAGCTAGTAATGCATATATTTATATTCCACGTGGAAGTTACTTAGTAAATATATACTTACAACAACTTCCAGTTTATCTATAACATTAGTACCAACTGTACCATTAAAAACAACAATATTTTCAACCCTAGCGACTTGGACAACATTTACTCTGTACACAAGCGATGTTGTCCCAGCTTTATTAGTCGCGATACATTTATATGTGCCTTCTGACTCCGCTGTTATATTTGTACTTATTATTGTCGAGTTTTTAATTAACCATGATGTGTTACTGAAATAATAAATATGCAAATATAATGAAATCCCGTACATTTACTTCGTGTTTATTTCGTTGCATCAGTCTTAGGGGTAATTTTATTTCCTTGTTACAATATTCAGTTCGTAAATTAATATTCATAAAACTTAAATTAAAAATTCTATGGAAGTAACTAAATGGTCCTTCAAGTCGGATGTTAGTGGCCGTAAGTCCGATGTTCTGACCTCAGTTGACTTGCACCACATAAATTATATCTATTGGCCGTTGGGCTGATTGGTCCAACGATTCGGAAAATACCCTCTTTTAGCGTGGATTACCATTGTCCATACATTTCATAACATCTAAAAAACTGTACAGTCTAAAACTGAAATAGAATATATTTATATGGAAGTTTCGGGAGTGTTATTGAATAATTATAGAATATTTATGTGTCAATATGTTTCAAACATTAATTACATTATTCTTTTAAAGCCAAATTTTAATACATTGCTAGATTTATTTTAAAACTATTTATTGTTTAATTCAAAAAAACTCACTTGAAAATCCATTTGATATCAGGTTTAGGAGAACCTCGTGCGTTACATTCCAGAGTAGCGTTCGTACCTTCCTTCAGTTGAACGTCCAGTACATCAAATTCAGATATAAATGGCGGAACTGGGTAACAAAATAGAAAAAATAATCTATACTATTATAATAAAGCGTAAACACACACTTCTTTGTTGCCTAAGATCTCAGCAATTACAGCATATTTTTGAATAATTATTTTTTTAACAAAAAAGTCCTACACTTACGTCACGCTTTAGGCTATATATTTTCACGCTATTAAACTTAGGGGGTAAATATTTTGGATAAAAACCCTAATGTGGGAAAGAGACCGCAAGTTGCTGCCAACATCAAGGAAGCAAGATTGCCATAGTAAGGTAATTGGTATTTTGACATATTTGCAATTGAGAATTTGACAAATGCAAACAATAAATTCATGCGGATGAAGCCGCACGCGAACAGCTAGTATTTAATGAAATAATAAATATGAATGAATAATATATTAAAATTACTCTGTATATTTTATACTAGGTTTGCGACTCCCGCGAATAAAAATAAAACAAAAGTAAGTAGCCTATGTGTTCTTTCACACTATCTACATCTATGCCAAATTTCATTGAGATCCGTTCAGCAGTTTAGGCTACAAACTCTAACAAACATCCATCCATCTAAACTTTCGCATTTATAATATTAGTAAGAATTAATGTAACTAAAATAAATCATACCTAAAACATCCAGAGTGAATTCCTTTACAACTGTGCCGTGTTCATTTGCCGCTACACACTTGTATACTCCTGTCTGTTGCAATTTGACATTTCTTAACTTCAAACGGCTCTCGTCCTCTCCTAGTAATAATTTCGAATTGAACAACCATTTTGTCTGAAATAAACATTCAGATATGGATACATAATTCTAGTTCAGGTGTAGACCAATCTATACAATAAATATATAATCTTACTAATATTATAAATGTGAAAGTTTAGATGGATGGATGTTTGTTAAAGTTTGTAGCCTAAAAGGCTGAATTGATTTCGATGAAATTTGGCATAGACGTAGAAGATAGTCTGGAAGAACACATAGGCTATTCACTTTTGTTTTTTTTTCAATTACACGCGGACGGAGTCGCGGGCAAAAGCTAGTAATAATAAATAATAAAATAAAGTGTAAACACACATTACTTTGTGGCGTTGGATGTCAGCAATCACAGCACTTTTTGAATAATTATTTCTGTAATAAAAAGCTGTACACTTACGATACGCTTTAGACTATATATTTTCAAGCTATTAAACTTAGGGGGGAAATGAATTGGAAAAAAACCTTCATGTGGGAAAGGGACCATAAACTAGAAGCTGCCAACATTTCGGAAGCAAGGTATAACATTCGCAATTGAGAATTTGACAAATGAAAACAATAAAATAAGGTTTTTAAATTGCAGGCGGATGAAGCCTCACGGGAACAACTAGTATTTAATAAATTGACATTAAAATCAACGTCTTGTTGTCTGTTAACGTAATTAAAGTCAAACCATGAACATAAAAGCGTGTCCTGGAAGCGCTATATTTTTATTAGCGCTGTATTTATTTTTTACTAGCTTTCGCTCGCGACTCCATCCGCGTGGCACGTTCTTCCAGATTATCCTCTATATCTATACCAAATTGCATCGAAATCCATTTAGCCGTTTTGGCTACATATTCTAACAAACATCCATCCATCTAAACTTTTGCATTTATAATATTAGTGTGATTACATTTCTTATTAGTTCGATTTAGCAACCGTTGTATACAAATTACCTTAGCCGCAGGTTTAGCGTCAACTTGACAGTCCAATACAGCATCATCTCCTGCGACAATCTCCAGCATTACTGCATTTTGATGTGCATGCGGCGGCCATTGCACGTCGACTGCCAACGCCGCGTGCGCGCCGCCCGCCATATTGCTCACAACGCACGCGTACCTCGCGCCATGAGTACGACGCACTGGATACAAGTATAATGGCCCTGTTGATATTAATACTGCGTCCTGGAAATAAATAATAATAAGCCTTTATTTAAATAATTACTGTCACATTATATAAATTGAATTGAACATTGATTATATTAATTAACTAGCTTTCGCCCGCGAGTTCGTTTGCGTGAAATAAAAAAAAAACAAAGTAGCCTATGTGTTCTTCCTGATTCCTCTACATCTATGTATAATTTAATCGAGATCCGTTCAGCAGTTTAGGCTACAAACTCTAACAAACATTCATCCATACATCCATCCATCTAAATTTTCGCATTTATAATATTATTGAGATATTAAGATTGCAAATCAACTAGAATTATCGAGTTTGTAATTAAAATTTCGCATTAGTTTAGACAAACCGTCGAACCTTATACCATTTCAGGGTGTCATTAAGTCCGAGACGCAGGGGGCATTCGATGGTGGCATTGCTTCCCTCCACCACGTGCACTACGGACTCTGCCTCTTCTGACATCATACTGGGGACAGCTGGAATCAAGAATAAGAAAATAATAAGAAGAAAGGAAGATCTATGAAGAAATTCAAAAATATATGAAGTCAACCTGCAGTCCAGGAAACTATGGCCTAGTCTTTAGAATTTACCCTTCTATTAGTAGCAAAAAATTATCTATACTAATATAATAAACCGTAAACACAATTCTTAGTTATGTAGAATATCAGCAATCACAGCATATTTTTGAATTATTCAATTTTAATAACACGTCCTACACTTACGCTTTAGGCTGTACATTTTCATGCTATCAAACTTAAAGAGTAAGCAAATTGAAAAAAATCGTCATGCGGGAAAGAGACAAAAAGTACAAGTCAATTGTTGTTAGCCAATGTCAACAGCCTTAGTTGTTATTTCAGTATTTGAAAGGTTTTATAGTTTGAAGCGGATGAAGCCGCATGGAAACAGCTTATATCTAAAAGTTGTACTTACAGTATATCTGTACTGGTACAGTCCGGGAGGCAGTGCCTACTGAGTTTTTAGCTAAGCAAGTGTAATCGCCACTAAGGTCTTCCGAAGGAGATTTGATAGTTAATGTTCCGTCCACATCGATGTCGTAACGGAAATCTATAAAAGTATAGTTAAAGAGGCAAGATTTGTATTTTGCATGTATTGAAAAACTAAAAAAACAACTGGGCCGATTTCAGTTATTTTACCATTAAAAAGTTACGTTATCAGTAAGTAGAATAGGCTATGTTTGTTTTTCTATATTTTTTTAATTTGACGCAGGCGAAGCCGCGAGCGATAGCTAGTCTATACTAATAGGTAAGATTACAAAGAGGTAAGATTCATATTTTTGTAAGTATTGAAATATCTCAAACTGGCCAGTTTCAAGAATTCTTTTATTTGACTGCCATTGTTATGTCCTACCTTTATCCAAATAATATCCGTCTTTAATCCATACAACATAAGGTGTAGGTTTGCCTGTCGCTTTGCAGGCGACTGTAAGAGAAGTATCCAGTACTGTAGCTATATATGGCCCGGTGTAATTATCTTCTATTATTTTTGGTGGTTCTAAAACACATATTAAACTATTGAAATAACAAAAAAATGTAAACATTTTATACACACCTTATATCTAAAAAAGTAATTAAAAAAATGATTAATCTGTGCATGTAAACAATAACAAGTAACAGAAAATACACTTGGAGGGGAATGAGACACTTAGGTAAGGGAAATATCGTCTCTATGGGCTTCCCTTGTTATTTTAAGATATTAAATGCATCTGCAAATACAATCTATGGATGTATTTGCTATTTTGGCGAATTATAAAGACTGTTTATTATAAAACAACAGTTGGTAGAATTTTCGTACCGTTAATATTGAGAATAAACGTCTTTACTGCGAAACCCGCCAAGTTCTCTGCAACGCATTCATAATGTCCCTCGTGTTTATTTCTCGCGTTTGTTATGTTCAGTTGGCCGATATCATTTGAACTGAAATATAGATAAAAAGCTGTTTTAGTAATAACCTCACAAACTGTATTAATAGTTTTAATGTATACATTAAAAAGGAGCATTGGAGTCTCAACGGTTTAAGCACTTGACTTGTAACCAACAGGTCTCGAATCCCGTCATGATTTTTGATTTTTAAAATTTCATATGTACATAATTTACATGATGTAATACCACGGCCGCACAGAAAAAAGGCGTGAAGTGGGAGCCTAATAATTGTGGTAGGAAGAGGAAATATCCTCTTTATGTGAGTCTTTTCCGTCAATTAAGGGTAGGCAACGCATCTGCAGTTGCGGATGTCTGGGCACCGGTTTCTTCGCCATTTCGGGGGATTGAGGTGGCCGCTTGCTCGTTTGCCAACTTATAATATTAAAAAAGCCCGTAGTGGGCCAGTGTGGTTGACTAAGGCTTAGTCACTAACTAAGGGTAGACCTTAGGGGACGTATAGTGAGTTGGTGATGATGAAGATACCTTAAATCCGTGGTATTCTCAGTCAATAAATTATCGTTAAACTGCCACAAGATGACGGGAACTGGGAAACCTGTAGCACTGCATTGCAGAGTTACATTAGAACCTGACACAATGTTCTTTGTCTCCAATAATGGCGGCTCTAAATATGGGGCCACTGGAAATGAAAATATACTATGATAATATTAATTGCTTTAATATAATACGACAAATGTACTAGAAATAATTTAAATTTACTCTAATTTATACTAACATAATAAAGAGGAAAGATTTGGATAAAAAAACTACTGGAACGAATCAAAAAAATACAGTACTAGAAAGATACGGTATTATTTAGTAAATAGGCTATCTTACTAATATTATAAATGCGAAAGTTTAGATGGATGGATGTTTGTTAGAGTTTGCAGTCTAAACGTCTAAACGGATTTCAGTGAAATTTGGCAAAGACGTAGAGGATACTCTGGAAGAACACATAGGCTATTCACTTTTGTTTTTTTAATTCCACGCGGACGGAGTCGCGCGCGAAAGTTAGTTTTTTATAATTTAGCAATAAGTCGCGAGCAACAGCTAGTTTTATTCTAATATATAATTTTATTAATTTATTTATCTAAGCAATAAATACTTACCCCAAACATAAACTGTGTAGTTTAAAATCGCTTTGCCGTAAGCGTTGGTTGCAACACACGAATATTCCCCAAAGTCTGTTAAATTAGCAACAAATCTGAAATAAAACAGAATGCATTACTCGAATTTTCCAAAGATTTTACATAGATCTTTAATTTAATTTGAAACGAATAATTAGATATTATACAAGATTTTGTAATTAAAATTCACATTTTTTACATACAAAAGCATTTCATAATTATCATGTTCATAAATATCAGTGTTTACCGTTGGACTGATGGATTAATCCATTCAATGGGAAAATAATCCTATCCAAAAAAAATCCAAAGAATAAATCGGCCCAAATTACCAAGAGGCCGATTGAGGCCGATCGGCCCAACAACCAAAATCTATACTAATATTATAACGAAAGATTTGTATTTTTGTATATATTGAAATAACTCAAAAACTACTGGGCCGATTTTAAAAATTCTTTCAGCATTAGAAAGATAATTTATCTGTGAGTACCATAGGCTATATTTTTTAATTTCACGCGGGCGAAGTCGCGAGCAACAGCTAGTATATTATATTCACAAAACATTTAACACTGTCAATAGCATCTTTAACAATCATTAATTGGTTAAAGGAGACTACATAAGGCATTTAAGTGGGTCAATTAGTATTAAAACAATATGCAATTTTTTATTTCTATCGTTACTCAGTTTTGGACAATAATTACCTTAATCCATATTGATCTATATATTTCCTGTGATCAGTGAGATGATTGTTATGTGACCAGGAGACAGCCGGAGCCGGAGCGCCGGACGCAGCGCACGGCAGCTCCACCAGCTCACCTTCTAACACTTCTATAGCTTGCTCCGGTTGAGAAGACATTATTGTAGGGGACACTGGCAATATTGAACAATCAAAATTAATAAGAAATTCCGATTGCATTCTAACTGTTTATTAAAGAAGGTGATTAAGGTCTCTGAGTGGGTCAGTAATTAATTAAAAGAATATATACAACTTAACAATAATGAAAAAAAATCACTCCTAATAACTTTTTTCATTGATTTCATCTAGCATTTTATAAAACAAAATAAGAAAGTGTTAAATGTTTTTAGTTATTTAGTTAAAATAAAGAAAAAACTTTGTTTTAAAACGCAGCCAACAGATGGCGCTATATCCACTAAAGGCTCAGTTAATTTTTTTATGTTAGTTTAAGTTATTTGGTTTTTGCCAGTACCCTTCTACTATGTTTGCTAAAACCCTAAAGCTATCTAAATAAATACTAAAAATAAAATTTATATGAAAACTTACTGTAAACTTGTAATGTATAATTGTTAGTAACTGCGCCTAATGCGCTGGAAGCATTGCAGCTGTAAGCACCTGCATTATACACTGTAGCGTTTTCTATCACTACTTCATTTGCGTCATTTAGGTATCTGAAATACATTGAAAAAGTATGTAAGTACTAGCATTTGTCCACGACTCCGTACGCGTGGAAATAAAAAAAGAAAACAAACGTAGCCTATGAGTTCTTCCAGATTATGTTTCACGTTAAGGCTACAACTCTAACAAACATCCATCCATTTAGTACCTAAATAAGACAAAAATATATCTTAGTTTAAGTGGTCGCTTATTTATACTAATATTATAAAGAGGAATGATTTATATTTTGTATATATTGAAATAACTCAAAAATTACAGGGTTGATTTCAAAAATTCTTTCACCATTATAAAGATATCTTAACTAGTTAGTTTATAAATTAACAATTTACAGACAACGGAAAGAAAATACAGAAATAACTTACATATTTCTAGAATACGATATAGGTTTTCCTTCTTTAGTCCACACAACTATAGGTTGAGGATTGCCGACCGCGTTGCAACTTAACACTACTTTCTCACCGGATTTTATTTCTAACTGATTACTTCCATTTTGTTTAGAATATTTCAATTCTGGAGGATCTGAAATGCATTTTTTTTTAAACATTTTACAATAATAATTATAGCATTTAATACCACATTCAGTCGAATTTAATGGAAATCATGCTAGTATTATAAAAGCGAAAGTTTAGATGGATGGATGGATGATTGTTAGAGTTTGTAGCCTAAACAGCTGAACGGATTTCGAATTAATTTGATACAGATGTTAAGGATATTCTGGAAGAACACATAGCCTACTCACTTTTGATTTTTTTAATTCCACGCGGACGTAGTCGCAGGCAAAAGCTAGTAAGAAATAAAATTTACACATTTCTGCCTGATAATGTCATCTATAGTCTATGAATTTATTTTGGAATGTTCTACTATTTAAAATAATATAAAAAGGTCTGTTTTCAATAAGTCTGTAAAGGTAAAATCGTTTAGACGGGCTTCTTATAATTTATAATTTATTGGATCCTAACATTACAGAAAACTAGCTGTTCCCATGCGGCTTAATCCGCAGGTACTTATAAAAACTTAATTTTATCGTTTACATTTGTCAATTTATCAATTGCAAACGTCAAAATGACATAACATGACGATCCATGGCAATCTTGCTTCCTAGATGTTGGCAGCAACTTATGGTCTCTTTCCCACATTAGGGTTTTTACCCAATTTATTTACCAACTAAGTTTAATAGCTTGAAAATATATAGCCTAAAGCGTGAACTAAGTGTAGGGCTTTTTATTAAAAAAAAGAGTTATTCGAAAATATGGTGTAATTGCTGACATCTTAGGCAACAAACAAGTGAGTGTTTACGCTTTATTATATTTTAATAGTATAGATTACTTACATTGTATATTAAGAAATAGTTGATAATTATCTTTTCCAATAGCATTTTCTGCTATACATTGATAAAAACCTTCGTCTTGTCGACTTGCATTATGTATGGAGACTTCAAAACCTTCTTCGTTTACTTTCATATTGTTTCTAAGATATTGAAACTCTTCTGTTTCATTGTTTTTGTATTGCCATGTTATCTTCGGTTCTGGATTACCCTTTAATAAACTGAAATATTTAAATAATTAAATTAGATTAAATCAAAAATATTTTTTATATTATTTTTTATAGGATAAATATGAGAGAATAAAAATTTTAGCATAAAATGTTCGATGTATGCATTATTTGCGAAAAAGAAAAAAATAATAAAACTTTTAAAATAACTATATGTGAATTTAATATGTTTACATTTAAATAAATACTGTTAACAGATACAACATCTCACCTACATGATATAAAAGCGGTGTCGCCTCTACGCGCTGTTATTCTAGAAGGTTCCTTTGACAACTCGGGATTTTCTGGAAAACGAATGATTTAATTTTATAAACACTAACTAAAACTAATTCGGATTATAAAAAAATAATAAACCTCACTAATATTATAAATGTCAAAGTATGGCTACATGGATGGATGTTCGGATGGATGGATGTTTGTTAGTCTCGATGAAATTTAGGACAAGTATAGAACACAGTCTAAAAGAACACAGGCTACATACTAAATACATTATTTCATAAAAATGTACTTCCTCAAACAACTTATTTAATAGCTATTAAACATTAAATTATAACCTCAAAATTTTTATTTTAAAACATCTCACCCAATCCAACAACTTGTAGTGTTCCATTAATCTGTATCCTCTCGTATCCATTATCCATTATACAAGTATAAAGTCCCAGATGTTTAAAATCAATTTTCTGTATATACAAAGTAGTCCCGTCTTCAGATATATCCGTGTCGTCTGTCTGTATGTGTGTGTTGTTGTGTTGCCACGTCACTGTCGCCGGGGGAAGTGTGTCCACGTTACAATGCAAGTCTATTTGAGAGTACAGTTCTACTTGCTGATCTGAAAAGAGTAGGTTTTTAAAATTAATATGAATTTTTAGTAAATCACATTTATAGTAACACATACAGGATAATTTTTTTAAAGAATCAACGGCATTGTGGAGTTAGAGGACCTCAATAGGTCGTTTAAGCGCAAAATATGCTCGATTTTCCATAGTTTTAAAGTTATTTTTTTTTTATACTATTCCATCAATGCAAGCAATCAAATCTTTTCTTTTTATATCATAAGAATAGAATTTTTCGGAATAATCATCGAAAGTTTAGTTGAATAACATAAAAAAAATTACATCCCTAAACTAAATGTCAAAAATAAATAAAATAAAATAAGAACATCTTTATTGTTGTCATAAAAAATAGAATACAGTTTCTAAGTCAAAGTCAGTTAAGTGAAATATAAAAAAAAACGTTCGTTTATAAAACCTATTAAATCCAATAGATAGTCAAAATGTAGGAAAACCATTTAAATTGTTCAAAGAAACAATACTTTTTTAAAATAAAAATTGTAATTAATCATTGTCACCCTGATTCACTTCATCGCTACTAACCAATATAAAATTAAAAAGAGCTACACTAAGGGTTTTTAAATAACCGTTAACTCAGTATACCTGTAAAGTTTTCCAATATCCGCATTTTCTTGCGTACATTAACAATAACTGTATCTTGTGCAGTCCCGAGCGAGTTTTCTGCGATACACAAGTACGTCCCGTTCACAGTCTCTCTGTCACTGTCTAACGTTAACACGCTCCTATATACTGTCTCTTTCACTTGCACCACCTGGAAATTAGAAATAAATACATCGTACTGTGTAATTCCACTAATGTATTTGTATTATAAAATTGTTGTGTCTATTTTTTAATAAAACAAGAGTGAAACAACAAGTTGGAATACGATACGATTAGAAAAAAAATGAATATAAACTTGAGATACATTGTGACGTCATAGCTCTCGAATCTAAAATGAAAGTAAAGAGCGTATCACAAAAATATGATAGAAATCTATTGTATCGATAATATTTATATAACATTTGTTGTACTTTATGCCTATATAACAAAATGCCACATAAGTTTTGTACACATTACAAATATTTTCTTGCAAATTTTCGTGCTATCTTTCAAGTTTCGATTCGAGAACTATGACGTCACAATGCTACACGGGTTATTTCAATCTTTCATCGAAAACTCGCTGCATTTAAATATTACTTACAGTATTATTAATTTGTTCAGTCCCTCTTTGCCATACTATTGTGGGTGGCGGCTTGCCGCGCGCAGTACACACTAGCTGCTGTATGCTGCCTTGGACTATTGTTATGTTCCTCACGTCGACATTTACTTCAGGCTTTATCTCTATGTTCACTTGTACTATATCTGAGGCTGAAATAATAGACATTTACAATTAGCTTTTAATTGGTTTAACTTCAGTTATGCTTAAAATTAAACAAATAATATACAATCATGAATATTCTAAGTCACATATTCTGTTTGTTTAAACTTTATTGTTACTAATAAATATTTCATATATCACATATATCTATACTATTATAATAAAGCGTAAACAAACACTTCTTTGTTGCCTAAGATGTCAGCAATTACAGCATATTTTTAATGATTCTTTTTTTAATAAAAAGCCCTACACTTACGTCACGCTTTAGACTATATATTTTCACGTCATTAAACTTAGGGCGTAAATATTTTGGATGAAACCTAATGTGGGAAAGAGACCATAAGTTGCTGCCAACATCAAGGAAGCAAGGTTGCCATAGTAAGGTAATTGGTATTTTGACATTTGCAATTAAAAATTTGACAAATGTAAACAATAAAATAATGTTTTATAATTGCACGCGGATGAAGCCGCACGGGAACAGCTAGTTAAGAATATTTTAAATTACAATTAAAGATAATCTAGGTTTACTATAAACAATAGATGGCGCTTTACATAGACATCCAATTAATTTGGAGGAAGTTTGAAAGTAGCGCCAGTGATGGAGAAATTGACGAGACGATGGGGACATATACCAGAAAGTGTTAAGACCGAATGTGGATAGCTAAAGGTTTACCTTTATCTATCTATCCTCTAGGATGAGCAAAGAAAGTATAGATGGATTGTGTGAAAAAGGATACGCTTAAGAAGGGAGTGGATTCAGATATGACGACTGATAGAAATGTATGGAAGCAGCACATATTGTGCCGATCCTCCATAAGGGCAAGTTGATGATTATGCAATTTGATGGTGTCATAATGGTCTTAATTGTGTCATGTTCTCTTAAAAACAAATAAAACAAACCTCTATGTGAATTTCGTAAACCAATACAAGTCCAATATCCTTCTTCAGAAACGGTCACATCCAGGCTAATATTGTAAGTGCCATTGATTGCCACTTCTTGCACCAGAGTGCCATCTGGTGACATCCATTGTGCCAAATTAGCATTCTCTACTTGACAGAGTAATTGTAGTTTAGTGTCAATTTGTCCAGCGAGATTGTGGGCTCCTAATATTTTAGCTGTTGGTTCACTTTCTATCAATATATATGTAGATTGATTTGTTGAACCACCTGTAGATAAAAAAAAAAATAATAATTTGTATTTGGGTGTACAAAAATCGATGGGAAAATGTTTATTACGATCTGTGCATAATTTAAAAAAACTTAAATAAGGGTAAATAGCTGAAAAATAAATAAAAATATTGTATATATTAATGTTTTTTTATACATAACTAACCTCTGTTAGCAGCAAGACAGGTGTATTGGCCGCGATGTTTTTCAGTGACGTTGGAAATCGTCTTGTTGTAGGAATAAAAGCCGTCAATATTCCTTCCAACTTTAATATTAGTTACTGAAATAAAATGACATTATTTTTTAATCATAAGACATGTTTATACAAGTAAATTAAATTAATTTAATAGTAATTTTATGAAAATTACTAGCTTTCGCATGTGACTCCGTCCGCGTTGGATTAAAAACAAACAAAAGTAAGTAGCCTATGTGTTCTTCTAGACTATCCTCTACAACTATACAAAATTTCACCGAAATCCGTTCAGATGTTTAGGCTACAAACTATAACAAACATCCATCCATCTAAACTTTCGCATTTATAATAGTATGAAGTATGATTATTCTTAAGACATTTCTTTATTTAACGGTGAAGGAAAACATTATGCAATGCATATCTGTGAAGAAATTTAAAATTATGTGTGTAGTCACTCTTAATGTGGTGTAAGCTTAAACCTCTTAGTTGGTACGCTGATGAAACTCACCATTAACGGTGTTGCCATTGTCAAATAAAATCTGGCTCTTAAGGAGTACTGCCTCGCTGAACACCGCACAGGACACTGTCAGGTCTTCCCCAGCAGATAGTGTTGCGTTCACTGGCAACACTGACACTTGCGGCGGCTCCACTGAACAAAGTTTTGACAACATAAAAGTATAGACATTGATATAATAAACTAGCTGTTGCTCGCGACTTCGCCCGCATAATATTAAAAATAATACAAAATATAGCCTATGTTACTCACCGATAACATAGCTTTTTAATGGCGAAAGAATTTTTGAAATCGTCTTATTTATTTATTTCAATACAAACAACATCCAAATCAAATATAATATAAGTATAGCTATAGATGAATGATGATGGTAGATTGTAAACAGTAAGCAGCGCAAGTTTGGATATTTTTATATTTAAAACATTGTTGGCTCTTTTTTTTAACTATTAATAAAAATTTACCTAGTAAGGAGAGCTGGGTGTTAGTCTTGCTATGCCCCGCGGCGTTGCTCGCGGAACACCGGTACGTGCCAACGTCGGCCTCGTTCATGTCTTCTATCACGTATTCTATTGAAGTACTTTGTCTGGAAAAATATATTAAAATGATCAATTAACTGCCACAGTTATTTTCCTCAGAAATGACATGTCTATAGTATGTATGATATTCTTTAGACATTGGTGAAATAATTATTTAATTCGATAGCCTTGCTTAGCTTGGATAAATAGATAAAAAGCAGAGTTCACATAAAATTATGTAATACGAAATTTTGCGCGCAATTTTTACCGCGCGGAATTTAAATACTTAGTAAGTAGCAAGTATGTAGTTCTAAAATATGTTCTACATTGCCAGATTTGAACTTCCTTTGAGCCATCTTGGATACGTAGTGTTAAGAACAAAATTAGTACCGTGCTGTAGAATTGACGCAACTCTAAATTATCGGCAAAAACGGCACGTCCCTAACTGACAGTTGTCAATGTCACTAGAAGTAGGGTTAGATTGGCGCGCAACCGGAGTTCTAACGAGAAGTTTTGCTCTGAGTTTAAAGCGACAGTATCAATTAAATAACTTGTCTAAAAGTCGTAACAAACTTACATTCATCCATACTTTCACATATATACCAGTATGTATTACGATTTACATATTTTATATAATAATCACGGTTGACCGGTTGACTACTCTGATTTACATAATATTAAGGGCTTGTCCCACCACTGACTGATAAGAGGCTCAGATACCTTAAAACTGAAGTCACTGTCAGATAGAGTACTAAAATCCGATATTTCCATAACATATTTTGTAAGTTAAATTGTTATTTGGCAGTTTACAAGAATTGTAGGACAGGCCTTAAGTGATAGTTTTTCACACAAGTAACACGCCTACAAAATCATATATCTATCTCAGCTTTCTTCTTAAAAATGAGAGGGACAATATGTATTTTAATTTGTTATACTAACAGACTTGAAGTCTTCCTTTCCATCCTCGGGGAGTCTCTGGTCCACTGCACGCTCACTGGGACCAGACTTTCCACATTGCATTTGAGAACTACACGATCGTGAGAACGCCCTTCTATCTGAAAACATATTACATAAATTATTAATGGTCGGTTTCCCATCTACATTTAACCATTCATTATTGTTTTTTGTACCATAATTGAAATGCGTTTCCGAACTACGTTACTTGAGTTTTACTCTATTGAAACTTAGTTCAACTACTAATGACTGTTAATCATACTAATTATTATTATTACACTAATGCGAAAGTTAAAAATGGATGGATGGATGTTTGTTGGAGATTGTACCCTAAACGGCTAAACGGATTTTGTTAAAATTTGGCACAGATGTAGATCATAGCCTGGAAGAATACATAGGATACTCGCTTTTGATTTTTTTAATTCCACGCGGACAGAATCGCGGGCAAAAGCTAGTGAATGAAGCATTAGTACTTAAAATTTAATAATAACTTGATTATATTTTTACTTTAAGGGTAGAGGGATGTCATTTTTAATTTATCTACTAACCTGTTTTGGGGCAGTTAAATATGGAACATCTGAAACGAACAAACATTTAAAATCTTACTAATATTATATATTCGGAACTTTAGATGGATGGATGGATGTTAGAAGATATCTCCGGATCGGTTCAACGAATGTCCATACAATTTATCATAAATATAGAACATAGTCTGAAAGAACACAGTCTACTGATTACGTTTTTTTTTTAATTCCGATAGTTAGAGTCGCGGACGAAAGCTACTTTTAAATGGAAACTGTTGAAATACTAAATTACCGTTATTTTAATCAAAACGTATCAAAATCCTTCATTACGATATATAAGTTTGAACTTATAAAGTTTTTAGTTACCTGGCGGTTTAGCCTGCACAGCGGTGGGGCCCACTCTACGAAACTCCTGGCCGTTTTCATCCCGCCCATTTATCTATAAGCATATAAAAATAAGATTTAAACAACAGTAAACAAAAGAAATTAAATAACAATAGAAAACAACGTAATAAGAGTTCTATACTAACATTACAAAGAAGAGAGAGAGAGAGAGAGAAGAGATTTGTATTTTTGTATGTATTGAAATAACTCAAAAACTATTGGACAGATTTTAAAAATACTTTCACTATTAAAAGCTACGTTATCAGAGAGTAAATTTTTTCTTATAACTTTTAATTCCACGCAAACGAAGTCGCGAGCAACCGCTAGTTATATGAAAATAAATTAGTATTTTTTATTCCCAAGTGTCATAGAAATACAATCAGTAAGATCTCTTGTGTTTTTTTTTTAATCAAATTATATTTAACTTACAGCAATATAAAAGAAACCATCAGGCGGTATAAACGCGTCCGCTAGGAACATGTCGTCCATTCTTTTGACGGGAACTTCGAAGAGCGTCTTTCCATCAGTAGTCAATATTTCAGCGAAGTTAATCTCTATGGGTACTTCTGGTGTTATTGATAGCAGCATATGGTTGTATGTTCCTGAAATTAATATAAAATAAGATATAAACATAAATCAATCTAAACTATTATAATAAAGCGTAAACACACACTTCTTTGTTGCCTAAGATGTCAGCAACTGCAGCATATTTATGAATAAATATTTTTTTAATAAATAGCCCTACACTTACGTCACGCTTTAGGCTATACATTTTCACGCTATTAAACTAAGGGGGTAAATATTTTGGATAAAAACCCTAATGTGGGAAAGAGACCATAAGTTGCTGCCAACATCAAAGAAACGTGGTTGCCATGGTTTGACATCATGTCATCCCATTTTGACATTTACAATTGATAATTTGACAAATGTGAATAATGAAATGATTTGTTTTCATTATTTTATGCGGATGAAGTCGCATGGGAACAGCTAGTGATATTATAAAGAAGAATGATTTGTATGTTTGTATGTATTGAAATTACTCATAAAGTACTGGGGCGATTTTAAAAATGCTTTCACTATGAAAAAGGTACATTATCAGTGGTTAACATAGGTTTTTTATAATTAATTTTACGCGAAATTACAGTTCATCGAGATTACTTAATTACTGAATTCAGTTCAGTTCAAAAATTCATTTCTACCACTCTATTTACCATTGAACGATCTTAACTGCGGCTGTAGTGTTGGCAGCTACTTTTAACCAAGGTAAATTGATTTTTAAAAATAAATTTTTAATATAAAAGTGCTCAATTATTTTAACTAAGAAATAAATTTCTTTAGCAATATACAAATAAAATCATGAGGTCCTTACCTTGCAAAGGTCTATAGCTAGCTTCGTCCATAGAGTTAGTCTTCTCTACAGAGAAGCCGTGATCAAAGGTGATGTTTGATAGACCGGACACTTTTACTGAATAATCCTTCTCACTGCCAACTGTTATAGTCCAATTGCCAGGTTCTGGATCTAGTACTTTTACTATCTGGAATATATAAAAAAATATAGTACATTTTTTTACAACGTGTTACAATTGTCTTAAGTTTCCACCGCAGAAACAGGTTTAAAATACTGAAATCATAGTTAAACACTTCGTTTCGTAAGTGTTTACAATCTGACAGACGACAAAATTTTAATGGAAATTGGACTATAAGCGTGCCTTTCTCATTTAAGATTAACTTATATTTAAATGTTTCAGTAATCGGCGGTTATTCATGATTCAGATAACGATATGGCTCTTTATTAAACAGAGGATTTATCTCGAATATTAGCGAGCACGTTTTCGCAACGTTATCGACAATAGTGATATTGACGGATCTTACTTCTTACTAATTATCAATGAGAAATTTTGGATAGATGGATGGATGTTAGAGATTGTAACCTAAACTGCTGAACGGTTCTCAATCAAATTTGGTATATAAATTTCTGGAAGAATACATAGGCTATGTACTTTTGTTTTTTATATCCACACGGACGGAGTCGCAGGCGAAACCTAATAAATCTTATATTAACATATTATTTAGAGACATACATACCATTATCTCAGACAGATCCAATGTGGTGACGAGCTGTGGTGGTCCCAACACCTCGTGGCCACTAGGGTTCACCACTTTGATGGTCGGCTTGGCTCCTGATACTGACACTGTCACTTCTCCCAAACTGCTGTCTACTGGAATCTGAAACAACGACATAAAATTAGTGTGAGTAGTACAATTTTACTCATAGGAAGACTAGTCTAAAACAATTTACCGCTATCTTATTTACCTTGTTCTAGTATAAAAACTGGTCAATACAATAGTAAGTTTGTTCGTAAATAATAGTTAGAGTGGGTGCATACCTATGACTAGAAATGAAGAATGAAGAAATGAACTATCGCACAACTGTTGTCCGATTGTCGATTGTTTCTTAATCAACTGTTTATTTGCACAATTAATTAGGAATTAGTTAGTTGTGCGATAGTTTAGTCAAACGCGTGCGTGGTCTTAATGTTAATATACCGACTTATATTAAGATATTTATTTTATTCGTTAACTTACCGCTTGCGTGTAGTTATAACCACCCGGATGCACTGCAGACCCCAAGTTAACGCTTCTGCCTCTTATCGAACTTCTCACGAAATCCAACACCTGGAAGGTAGAAAAATATCACCAATCTATTGACAATGTTAGCAAATCTAATTTCATTCATACTAATATTATAACGAGGAAAACTTTGTTCGATTGTAACGAATAGGCTCAAAAACTACTGGGTTCTTTTCAAAAATTCTTTAACCTGTAGAAAGCTAATTTTTCTTTGAGTAACATAGTCTATATATTTTAATGTTCTTTTTTTAAATTCACGTGGACGGAAGGTAGTTGATTATAAACTTTAATTGACTAGGGAAGGGGTAGCGAACATTTATGCATCAATATACTATCCAATAATTTTGACTGCCATTATTACGTCAATTCCATGGTGCACCTACTTCATACGTTTTTCGTAGTGTTTTTTATGATTATCGACGTGACCAAAATATTAAGTCGTGTGCCTTTTTATCTAGGGTAACTATAAACTAAGCTAGCGAGTCGAATGTAAAAACTGTACTTTATCGTACTTTATACTAAAAATTATAACAACTTCAACATACATTATGCACATTGGTCTTGTTCAAGTTGAACACTTGGCCAGAGCTGGCAGTCGCGACCTGCTGGTACACCTTGTAGGTTTGCCGCTTCAGGTCATTGCAGTGTCCAGTCAACACGAATACCACCTGTAATTGTAAGTTCGTTGGAAAGAGACAATTACATTTCATAGAGCATTATCCCTGTCCCTCAAATTAAACCAAAGAGTTATGATTTCCGTAATGAGCTGCGAACTGCGAATCCCGTGTTGTTATAATACATCGCGTAGAACAGTGAACTGCCACTTTAGTTGTTGAGCCGCAGCTCAACGGTGCAAAACTATGACCTGAACTTTTGAGCCGGTTCAGAACTTATTTACACTTGTATATGTACAATAATGTTATAAAGAGGAGAGATTTATATTTTTATATAGATTGAAATAACTCGAAAACTAATGGAACTATTTCAAAAAGTCTTTCACCTATAAAAATCTACATTATCAGTGAGTAACATGGGCTGTATATTTTATTACTTTATAATTTCACGTGGACTAAGTCGCGAGCAACAACTAGTTCTGATGATTCCTATTCCCATTAACACCGGCCTAGTCACATCCTCATCATTTCAATACAATCAGTACCAGTACCAGGTGACGTCATATGTTCATCAGCAAAGCTTTTCAAAAATATATTTTGCCCTATACTGACCTGACTTTGTTTCCTTTGCACCACATCTAACACTTTGCCGACGATCTTGTAATCCGATGCAGATGCGTCAGTGAACACATACACGTAAGACCTAGGTCGACTAACACTTAGCGCTAACAAGACCCCGCTCAGTGACTTCTCAGGGCAATCCCCGCCGCCCTTTACGTGGATTATATTCAATGCGGCTTTGAATACTTGTTTATTCTTTGTTACCGTCGCTGGGCCTATATCTGTTGATTTATTGAATTAAATAAATGGTTTGGAAATTAGAGTAAACACTGTACAATGTTTAAGAGTGCTTTAAGCCATTAGAAAGCAAGGTAAATAAATTATCTACTTACTGGGATCATGAAACGGCACAAAAACAAAATCAGCTATAATATTACTTTCTTCCAATGCAGTTTTTAAAATCATTTCCGCGCCTTCCCTTAACTGTTTAAGGTCATTTGACATAGAGCCAGTTGTGTCAAAAACGAATGCCAAACTGCTTTTCCCTTCATCTTTATCTTTTGAATTATTAAGTATTAAACTTTCAATATTTATTGCGTATAATAAAATTAAAAATATTAATGGTTTCATGTTCAGACAACTGCATAAATAGCATAACAAAGCAATACTAAGACAGACTGGCATATTTGATTATCATTTTTAACCTATGACCGTCTAATCAATATAGGTTAGAAGGACCGTCGGTACTTTGCGGTTCTTATCTCTATGCGTAACGTTAGAAACTAGGAAAATACAGGGTGTTCAATATCGATGGCTCCTACGTCAATTTGCATATTTTTAAAATAAATTTGCATGTTAAAACATTTGCGAATAATTACGACACATCAAACATGAAAATTCAATTGAGAATTAAAACCTAAAGTTCTCCGTTCTAAAGTTACTTAGAGATTTAAACAAAAAACAGCAAAATTGTGGCTTACGATAGTCTACGTAGAGACCATTGATATTGTTAGTAAAAAACTATGCGAAATATTTATACTTGCATTGTCCGAAGCATTGTATTCAATATCTACTATAAAAATATACATACTGTATACCGCATCTCAGTAACATTTTTATAAAAACATAAAATGTAGTTTTTAATAAATAATGCTAATGTTTATAAAAACGAAAACGCATCGAGACATTTTTAGTAACATAGTAGTACAATATAATTAATTTAAACATCCTGTATACTAAGTTATCTTGCAAACTATAATAAAACAAGCGATTAGGGTGAGGGAATATAAACTGCAGTGATATTGCCACTTCCGCGGACGTAAGCGTACTATATTATCGAGGCATTTGTAAATAAATGTTGCTTAGGGAAGTTTTGCTATAAACTTAACTTGCAGTTAAAAATGAATCATTTTAGTATGTACATTTCTATACATTTTATAAATTTTCTATCTTTCACATTTATTGGCACCAAAACATGCAACAACTGAAGGAAATTCCCATTATAAAAATCAAATATTTTTTAATCCTTTATTAAAAATAAAATCTTTATTAAAATTCACACTTTCAATTTCTTTACAAAAAGACAACAAACATTTATGAAAAAATTGCTCAAAATTGTCCTATATACTACCTCATGAGCGCCCTTTACATATAAGATTTTAAAAATTACGTGAGGCACTATTTCCAACCCTTATTTATAACTGCAGAATTCAAGTACCATGTTACTTGGATTATTACATAGTGTCATCTCCGTCATACACTTAAAAAAATCCGAGACAAAAATACCTAAGTCGATGGCTGCTACGTCCCACGTAAACTATTGTATGTTTGAAGTTTTAAATTTACAAGACAATCTTTAAATATTACCATTAATCAAATATGAACACACGACAGACAGCTATAATCTACAGACCTTTTTTCTAATGTTACTTTAAAATTCTCACCGAAATTGTTTATCAAGTTAATCCAAAAACCAAACAAGGTGTAAATCGCAAAATTGTGGCATGCAATATTTTACATAGGAACCATCAAACTCTATGGTAAAATAGCGCCATACGTCATTTTCTTATTTCTCTAATAAAAACAGCTTAAAAATAGAAATCTACAATTATTGCTTTATCCACCCTCTTAAACCATTAGTTCTCAACTGTTATTCTATGAAAATAAATATTTATTTTATCTTTGAATGACCTTTTTTTCTCTAATTTATTGAAGATTCATGTTATAAACAGACATAAGTGCAATATACTGATTTTCAGAGGTTTCATTTTTAAAATACTACAACTAACTTAAACTATTCTAGTCAACTAACTATTTCAAGAAAATTATATGCAAAGGGCGGGAGCTAAAGAGGATATTTGGCATCTCAAGTATGAGATCTTATATTGTCGATCAAACAAGTATTGTATGTTAAGTAGAAATCGCATATTATTTGAATAAAAAAAAAACTGCTATTAAGGTTTACTACCCCTGCCTTGTTCACTAGTCAGGGGTTGACAACATTAGAGGAAAAGAAAATTTACATTTTTGTTTTCAAGCAAATGGCTCGGTTGTTATATCCGTTATTGTCTTTATAACTTGAGCAACATATTATAAATGTCTCTAAATATTATATTAGAAATATTCCAATATAAATAAACTATAATCTATTTGAAAAAACATTTTTAGTAAGCAATCAAATTGAAACTACTGCGCAATTATAAAACTAAAGTTATCCTTACATTAATACAAATTACAACCAAATCGATTGAGGAAAGAAAAGTGACAGTGGTTCCAAAACAATCATGTAAATTCTAAAAGTAAACTTACATAGTTATCGATGGAGAGATCTCTATCATTCAAACCTTTACAGGTTTAAAAAAATAGAGGTCCATAAAAGTCTATGAATTGGACACATTTTTTTAAATCTTGACTACGAATATTTAATAATTTAACGTAAAGTTCTACAGTCGATACATACATAAAAATATATGTAAGCATGTTAGACCGACAATGAACAATGAAAACTCAACGAAAGATTGTTTCGGAACAACTTCACTTACACAAAAAACTCTAAATCTACTGTGATTAATTTTCGGTGGTAGCAGATATTGAGAATCATGTAATACAGAGGTTGTAAACCTTTTACAACATTACCTATTTTTTTTAAATAATTTATTTAATTACATTTAAGATCCCATTACCAATATTAATAAATTACACAAGTATGTCAAAAAACATCCATAAAATATGAAATTAAAATAATTTACCAAAAGTTTACAACCCCTGGTATATCCCTGCAAATGTTAGTTCATACTTTGGCAAGCATGTTATTAAACTATGGTGAATTTCAAATGACGCAACATTAATTTACGAACACTATTGCTATCTCTGCCTTTGTCAAAGAGAACAAGAGGGATGAGAAAAGTATTGCTGTCTCAGTTACTTCGAATAGAGTGAGAGAGATAGCAATATTATAAGTTACGAAAGTGGAAATTCACCGTTAGAGGTACAATTGTACTTTGTCCTGCTTCACTTAAGTCATGGATTATGGAAAATGCAACATTATTACTTAAAAATAAATTAAATAAAACATTTAATACCACAAACATAAATCTTTATCTATTGTTTTGAATTTTGGTCGATTAAACTGTACCTAGGACACATTAAAAATATGAAAAGTAAATTTATGTCTATGTTATTAAGGTACAAAAACATTTAACATGAGGCATTTGGGGGTACTCTACTAGTAATAACTATCAAGACATAGATACAAAACCTATAGATAACCAGAGCACAATTGTTTTGTATTTCGATTAGACGTAAAACTTGTATGAAACACTCCATCTATAAATTATATATCTATGGATAATATTTTAAACTAAAACCTTCAAAGTCTAAGACCCAAAGCGTTTTCTCAAAAGTATAGCGCGTTGAGACTAAGTGCTTGTCCATATCTAACCAGTTCAAGCCGGTTTAAGTTACTTAACATCGCGAGATTAGTTTGATATGAAAAAGCAATAAGACTTTATAAGGGCCTATTCACATCCAAAAACAAACTAAAAGCTATTCGTCTTTTTAATCTATTCCTTTGTTAGTGTGGGTTTCCACTGTCGAAACCTATATAAAACATATTGTGATCTCTCATTCTCTTTAAAAAAGAGATAGACATGAAATAGTCAAGTATTTCACAGTGGAATTAACCTTTAATTTATTAAGCTATAATTGAAAAAAATTTCAGTATATTAAGCTGCATAAATATGTATTTACAAAGATTCACAACTTTTTAACACAAAAGTTTTTATAGTTTTGTATTACTAATATTATAAATGCGAATATTTAGATGGATGATTGTAACTTATTAAGTTTTTTTTAATTCCGCATAGACGAAGTCACGGGTAAAAGCTTGTGTAAACATATTTCTGCCGCTGACTGTACATAAAATGATGTGAATAGGTAGAAAACATTTTAATCTAGAACACATACGTTTCTTACACAAATATTCCTTAAAGGGGTAGACAGAAACACGTGGGGTAAAAGCCCATACAGTCAATCTTAAGTTTATGTATGAAAATACATTGTTTATTTTTTGTATCTTGGTATATTCGGACATTTATGTATAAATTTTAGTATATAAGATTATTTTTGCACTTAACACTTTGTTATAATAATTAGCTTCCTTTAGACTTTCTATTATAGTTGTAAAAGTTAATATTTTCTTTTTACATAAAGTCCATCCATTTAATAACCATTGTTGTTAAGAAGTTGATGTATATATCATATTTATAATTTTTATATCACCATAATAATACATCATTTAATTTAATTCTTATGTCAAATGTCAATAATAATCTTTAAATTATAATAAATAAATATATTTAATTTGATTGCGGATTTTATATATTAACATAAATAACTTTTTTTTCGTTAAATTTCCTTTTTTGTACATACACAGCCTTACAAATAAACGCGGTATAAAGTTAAACTTAGGAATAAACTGAGTATAAGCAAATATTAGTACAAATTATGTTTATATTAAGTTCATTCCAGTTTAACTTCATACCGCCTTTATTTGTAAGGCTGTTAGAAAATATATTAACAATAATATAAAAGCACGGTTTTTAATATATAGAGACTTTAAACTAAGAAAACTCTTTATAATTATTTTTCATAATTCAATTCTTTATAATGTAATGGCAACTTCTTAGCAACAATTTTTTTACAACAATTGTAAAATCCAATTAATACTAAAAATAGATCTTATTGCATTGAACATAATGTATATTTTTATAAAACATAGTAGATTTAGCTATATGTCCCGTGGTATATGTGTACATTAAATGGCCTCATCAGTTTGTTTCACTTGTACATTCTTCCGAAACACTAGCACTTTCTCCCCGACCTCTCCTGCTGGGTACTGTTGGAAAAATATAACATCTCATTTACTTATCATAGAACTAGATGTCGCTCGCGACTTTGCCCGCGTGAAATTAAAAAATAGCCTATGTTACTCAGTTATGAACTTTCTTACTAATGGTGAAAGATTTTTTTTAAAAGGTCCAGTAGTTTTTAAGCTATTTCAATACACACAAAAATACAAATCTTTCCTTTTTATAATATTAGCATAGATGTGAAAGTTTAGATGGATGGATGTTTGTAAGTGTTTGTAGTCTAAACTGCTGAATGAAATTTGGCGTAGATGTAGGGGATAGTTTGGAAGAACACATAGGCTACTTTTTTTTAATACTATGCTATCGGAGTCGCGGGCGAAAGCTAGTCTTACATAACAAAGAAGTAACGCTTTATTATATTAGTACAGATAGATATATATTTAGTCCATACATAGATTATCATTTAAAACAAAGTATTCGTATAGTTAACATTAGTGTTACCTGTGTATGCGGCAATTCATGTATCAAGTTGTATCCTTGCAGGAGATTCTCCACTCGTCCCTTAAGCACATCGAACATCACCAGCAGGCTGGGGGTCTGTCTGCTGCTGTACTCCTGTCTCCACCAGCGCTGGGGGTTATTGTAGAAGGCCTCAGACTCATAAGTTTCTCCAGGGGAAGGTGGCTCGCAGTGCAGGTAGCGAGTTGTTATGTTTAAATGCAGATGGCTGGAATTATAATGAAAATTACGTCGATATAAAGATAATAGGAACTGTTTAAAATGAGATCTAAAGACCATACGATGTATATGGTAGTTGGTATATTTATGAACTAAAAATGTCATCTTAAAAGCATCATATTTTGACCAATGAAAGATTTTCCATTGCTCTGGTGAGTCGCCATTTTCATTACTTAAAAATTCGATTACGAAAATTAATAGTGTATAGTATATATAGTATAGTTTAATTTTGTTTGCAATGTGAAAGAATTGAAAGAAACAAAACAAAAATAATGTCTTAAGATCCTCGTAGGTCTATATCACTGGCTGACAATGTCTTATTATCTGTGGATTTATTTTAAAATTCTAGTGTTTAAATTGGTTCAAACACGTTTTTAAAACTCTATGTAAAAGCCTTATAAAGGTAAAATTAGTAAGATAGTTTTGTCCTCTTTGCTATTGAATTCAATTAATTGAAATAGAAAAAGTTACTTGATCACAGCAAGAGCTACAATAATTAAGAATATAAGAATGGATTTTTGTTAGAAGATAAGCCAGAATAGCTGAATGGATAATAATGAAATTTAGCATAGATATAGAACATAGTCTGGAAGAACACATAGACTATCCACTTAGTGATTTTAATACCGCACGGACGGAGTCGCAGGAAAATACTAGTCTCACTAACATCATAAATGCAAAAGTTTAGACTGATGGATGGACATTTGTTAGAGTTAATGGCCTAAACTGCTAAAAGGATTTAGATGAAATTTGGTACAAACGTAGAGAGTAGTCTGGAAGACATACTTAGTTGTTTATAATTCTACGCGAACGAAATTGAAGGCAAAAGCTAGTACTTCATAAATAACTCACCTATATAACGGAGTAGAGTGACAAGGCATCATAAACAATACGGAAGACCTGTTGTTATTGCCTATCGCTTCTCTTAATAACGGCATCACTTGTACAGTTCCTCGTTGATGTGTTTGTCCCAAATATATAGCTGGTACTGCATTACCCAATAACAGTACTGTTGCAACTAAATATAGCTTCCATCTAGAAATAATTGAATACACATATATAGTAGAAGACATTTATTTCCTACCCATATTAACCAACAAAAGTATGACATGTGTTAAGGCTAACACAGTTTCAACTTAACAATTGCACTGACATATGTAGGCACAATTTAAACCCCTTAGTTCTCAGTTTTGCGAACACTATTTAACTGTTCATTTATAATTAAACGAGGTTTTTATGCAACTAATTACAGTGTCCATACAGAAAATATAAAAAAGGACATTTACGCTTTTTTAAATTTGAACTAAAGGTCATGTAGACGCTTTATGTAATTAAATCTAAAGTTTATTAAAGCTAATTTTGCTGTACATGTGACAGTTCATGTAGCAATATTTAATACTAGTAGAAAGCGAATTATTTGACTAAACTCAGAATATTATAGATAAAAAAAACTTGCAGAAAACGACAAAATAACAACAGCAAAGAGTAAAGTGAAACTTAACTTACGCCTTAGCTTTCCTGCTCCATGGGACAATAACATTTTGAGCCAAATATAAGAGAATCGGCAAAAGTGGTAGGACAAATCTGAATTCTTTATGTGGTATGAAACTGAAAATAACAAACATAAAAAAGTTAATAACATGAATATAACTGCCTAGATTACGTAAACGCATATTTGGGACATAATGCAAGTGAATATCTATTGATCTGGATTTTATTACACTTGGGGCACACTTTAGGCTTTATATTTTCACGCTATTAGATTAAAAGGTGCTAAAAACCCGATAAAAACATCCTGTGAGGAAGGGACATAAACTATAAGACAGCAAAGAATCAAGGTTTCTTCAAAATTCTCAGCCAATGACAATGTCTGTCAATGTCATTAATACATTTGTATTTTGAAATTTACAATTGAAACATTAATGGAATGTAAATAATAAAAAAAAATATCAGATGAAGCCACATGGGAGTCTATAACTGATAATATAAAAAGGAAAATTTTCTATATTTGGGTTTTTGTAAACATTGAAATAACACAAAAATTACTTGGCCGATTCCAAAAATTCTTTCACTATTAAAAAGTATCTTATCAGTAACATAACTATTTTTTTTTACTATTTTAATACCACGCGGACAAAGTCGCGAGCAACAGCTAGTCTATAGTATGCATACCTATGAACAATAACATGTAATGCAGCAGCTAACAACAGCAGTATCCCGGTCTTATTCTCTTGTCTCCTCCGCAGCACCGTGTATATCGCCCACACAACAGGGATGGTGTTGATGCCCAGTACTGCTGGCAATCCCGTTGTGAGATACCAATGCCTGAAAATGTGCCAATTGTTCCTTAGTGTGAGGTAAAGTAAGACTTGAATACATTTAAATTATTTTACATTCCATTCTTGGTCCCATATAATGTTCAGGGTAGGGTGCGGTGTTTTGTTTTATTTCTTGCATAAATTTATACTGTTCTCACAAATTTTGAATACATCCATAAAGCTATGGTAATTACCATGAAAACTTAAAACAGTATTTCAAATAAATCTTACTTCTTACTAATATTATAAATGTAAAGTTTGGATGGTTGGAAGTTTGTTAGTTTGTAGCCTTAACTGCTAAACAGATCTTGGTGAAATTTGTCATAGATGTAGAGCAGTCTGGAACAACACATATGGATGTTTTAATTCTTCGCGGACGAAGTCGCGGGCGACAGCTAGTTTTAGCTTTCTACTTGTTTCATCCTTTTTCATATAAGAAAAGGATGCGGACGTGGACTTAAAGCTGGTGGAGATGCATATGTGTCAAGGGGAAATATGTGTATCCTCCTCCGTCGATTAAGAGAAGGTAACGCAGTTGCTATTGCCAATGTCTATGGCCAGCGGTCACTTTGCCATATTGTTGATTTTTTATGACATAAAAAATTTTATTACAAATACATACCACGGATGCGTTCCATAGAAGGAGGCGACATTATGTAGAACATTGTATTTAAAGAACTCCAGTGGGGTGAAAATCAATTTGCCATAGAAATATGTATCCAAAGCCACTAGTGCTCCACCAGCCATCAATCTAAAAAATATAAAACATACCCTCAGAATAATTTAATGTTACTAATATTAAAATGCTACTGATATAAAAGATGGATGGATGATTATTACTATGTATTTCAAAATTCATTATCAGATCTCATTGGCACAGACTTAGAACATAGTCTGGAAGAACACATAGGCTACTTAAGATTTTTGTTTTAATGCCACATGACCGGAGTTGCGCTTGAAAGCATGTGTTTACTAACTTTACACTTTATTTGACTTACCCGATTGGTAAATATGTGCCAGCCAATAATTTCAACTTCCCCTGATTTGTGGTAGCAATATTGTGGAGAGCCAGGACAAACCAAATAGGTGCAGATGTAGGTCGCAAAAATGTTGAAATACAAGCAAGCCAGACCCATTTGTTATTTTCTGTAAAAATCATTCATAGATATTTGAAATACCAGTTAGTTGGGGAAAAACTATGAATAACAAAGATTATTCAAGCTAAAGCTATGAAAAGATTTCTGCTTAAGGAAACAACAAAAATTATCTCTATATAGCTCTATTTACTACCAATAACTTTATTTGTAATTAAATTTACCTTTTTCATAACGAGCAAGTGCACCATCTTTAAATGGATACACTGATAAGGCAATAGCAACTAAGCAAGTTTCCATAGTTTGTAATAGAGTTCTTCCAGATGTGTAGAACCAAAATGAAGGTGTTAGAATAAGGAAGAGTGCCCATTTACGGCCACCCGTCCATTTGTAGAAACTATAATCTGCAGCGGTGCTGATAACAGCTTGGAATAAGCGTGGAATCAATACCTAAAATGTTAAAAAGTATTAAAAAAATAAATTCACTTCCCTGCAACTGAATGTTTTCAAATAATATAAACAAACCAACATACCACAGCTTCCGGACAATCCAGGCCAGTAAACTTGAGAACAGCGTAAAGTGCAGCAAATAGACTGGGATACAAGTAGCTTCTGATGCCTTTCTGCCACTCCCAAGTCAAGGCTCCATACCCAAACACTTGCTTATGGGCAACTTCCAAACTTTGCCAATATTCATCAGGCACATACCACGTTTGTACAAAGAAGACCGAGAGTATTCTTACGAAAAAAATAAGGGCCACCACTTGCAATGTCTTAAGGCCCCTTGCTGCAGCCATTTTCCCGCCTAAATAAGAGGTTACGTTAGCTAAAAATAGCTTTAGGTCACAAGAAAAACTTTTCGCTAAAATTGAATAAGGAACAGTCTCAGTTAGAAGTTAAGGTTTATCAGAAAAAAGTTTATTTGCAAGTTTAAAATTTACAACTAATCAAAAGTCAACCAACGCGTCCATAAAATTATCTATAAATATGAATGAATGGCACTACTAACATGGCATGTAAATATTGCATTAGAATTTTTAATTGTATTTAAACTTTACTTATCTAAAAATGTACCGCTATGATTGATTATAAATATTTATTTCATAATAATCAAAGTTAACCTCACCAATAAAACAACCTCCCTCTGCTGGCGCCACTAAACCATAGACTATCATCGATGTAACATCACGAAAGAAAAACAAATCACAAAAGTAAAGTAACACTCTTCTCTCTCTGAAACGGAAAAGTTATAATATCACATACTCATTTATGGTAATGTTTTCATAAAGCCTCTTAGATTCAAAATTGGTTCCATTTTCCTGCTTTTCAACTTCAGGAAATTAGGGATAACTGGATAACGGTAGAGCTATGAGGAATGCGGTGCTCTATGGTTTCTAAAAAGAAATTGGGTAAAATGAATGCAACCTTAGTGCCTTAGTGATGTCAAATTACCGTCAACCGGAGTTAGTTCGAAAACTATATAATATATTCTTATTGGAATCTAATTTTGCATTGATTATTTAAATTGATTTCATCTGTATATAATTTCAGGTGTAGCTTCATTAACAACTTATAAAAATTAATAGTTAAATAATAAAAAAGAAATTTCTTCAGTAGTTATGCAATGGGACTAAAATACGATTATCGACAATTTAACAGAGTACCGTTTGTTGTCATCTTCGGAACGTTGATTTACGAATGTTGATTTTTGTGATTAACTGCACCATTTCCATAATTTAAACAAAAAATGCAGTAAATTTTCAGAAAATGGGTAAGTATTGGAAATATGTAAACATATTACGGGTAAACCTTTGTGTTTTGACTAGATGAATGATTTAACAGAGGAAACGAGGAATGAAACAGTGGATCTCTCGAGGCGTGGGCTAAAGAAAATAGAGAAAGCGCCTTTAGAAGACTCTAAAACAATCATAACATTAATTCTCGACCAGAATGAACTGCAGCGACTGGACAACATCGAGACTTATAACCGTATTGAAAACGTAATTATACGTTAACCTGTTTTATTAATATTCTATAAGTATAAAAATAAAGATAAGGTGTTAACGGTATTTATAGTTTTATACCGTATTTACAATTGTTTATTGGTTAAAGTAACATTTCCTTGCTTTGATAATGTCTCACGAAAGTTTAAAGTTAATTATTCATAATAAATCTACATAATTTTATGTTTATTCCGATTATTATATTTTAAGTCTTTTATATTTAAATATTGTCTTTTTTAGTTGTCGATATGCAATAATTTCCTAGTTCGTATGCACGGTGTATCCCGGCTCGTTAATCTCAGAGTCCTGGCGTTGAACAACAATGGAATATTGCAAATAGAGGGACTGAAGGATCTGATTTATTTGAAAGTGTTAAAATTAGCTGGTGAGTTACATAAAAATATTTAAATAATTCTCTATATATTTATATATTTCAAGGAAAGTATCTAAATCAATTTCTTATCTGGAAACTAACTATCTTACCTATTGTTTTAGGTAACAACATCAAATCAATCGAGCATTTAAACCACAACATGCATATAGAACATCTAGACCTGTCCAACAACCAAATATCTTTTATAGCTGATATATCTTATTTGAAGAGTTTAAAGGTGAGATTATTTTTAAAATTATGAATACAATTTACATGCTATTTTGTCCCATTTGAGTACATGATTTTCTTAGATAATAAAACCCTAGCAGATTTTAGTTGATTTCGTAATATGTCATACCAATCTAACTAAGCTTATTATTGAGTTTGAGTTAAACACTTAATAACATGATAGGAAAACTGTAACTTCACCATTAGTCTATTGTTATAAAGTATGAAGAAAGTTTGGTACTTAAAAATGTTTTGTTTAAAACTTAAATCATCATTTTACTAATTAAATAAGCTAAATATAATGTTCGTAAGATACCGGTTTCTTACCACGATTGGATTTTTTTAGCTCTCAATGTTTCAGCACAGTTGCATGCACCATGTTCACGGGCTGACTCAACGACAAAGCAGTCAGCCCATGTACATGGTGCATGCAACTGTGCTGAAATTTCGAGAGCTAAAACAATCCAATGGTGGTAAGAAACCCTATCTTACAAACATTATATTTGTAAACCAGGACAGTGTAAAGTTATATATAAATGATCCTCAATTTGCTTTGTGATTATTGAATAATTGAATTTTAATGATAGATATATTTGTGTTACACAAATTTCAGCATTTAAGCCTTGAGAGGAACCGTATAATGGATCTACGTCAGTGCGATCGCTACCTGCCTACAGCATTAGAACATTTGGGTCTCGCTCATAATAATATACAGGATTTAAATGAAATCTGTCATTTAGTGCATTTATCTAAACTAGACAGTTTCAGTATACAAGGAAATCCATGTGTATCTTTAGCGGGCAAGGATAAACTGTATCCTTTTTAAATATACTGTGAATTTAAATTTAAAGAATGTGAATTTATCTGTGCTGGTATTTTAAAACCTCAATGCACCAAATGAATAAATTCTCTTGAATTTAGACAGGTACATAGTAACTGAGATAATATTAATTACTAGTTTTGTTCATTTCATTATTATTTCATTAATAAATGAGTCCCGCAAATTTTAGCAAAAGCCAGTGAAAAAATCTACATGATACAAATATTTTATAGTCTATTTTTCTAAAGTAACTGAATGTGACGTAATGTTTCAACAGTGAAAACTCAATTTATCTCAGTTTATTCAGTTTACTCAGTTTATCAAAAACCATTTCAATACCTTTCTTAACATTTCACCAGAGGGTTTGACTATCGGCCATTTGTACTCAATTGGATTATGAGTGTCAAATCTATAGATGGATTTATTGTCAGTGCAATTGAGAGGTAAGTCAATATTTCAGAATATGATTTATTATACATATGTCTATTTTGTAAGAGTTTACTTTATAAGGTCTGCAAATTGTGCAATCTTATCTTACTTCTTACTAATATAAATGCGAAAGTTTAGATGAATGGATGTTCGTTAGAGTTTGTAGCCTAAACGGCTGAACGGATCTCAATGAAATTTGGTATAGATGTAGAAGATAGTCTGGAAAAACACATACACTATTAAAAAAAACTCTCTTGGTTTTTTTTATTCCACGCGGACGGAGTCGCAGGCGAAAGCTAGTGTCACATAAATTTGCTTAGATCCCCGAAAATGGTAACAAAGGGAGCCGTATAAATCTCGCTTAGAGCGGTAGTGTCCCTAAAATCGGTTCCGTTGACACTAAAGACTTTACTAAGCTATTTACAACTTTCTATACCTTCCAGTTTGAAAGCAGAATGGTTGTACAGTCAGGGCAAAGGCCGACACTTCCATGAAGGTCAACATCGGGAACTATGCGAGTACCTCGCTGCTACCTGTCCCCTTACAGCAGACGCACTTGAGACCGAGGAGCAGAGGAAATTGAGACTTATCCTCAGTAAGGTAAGGTTCACTTTACACAAATGTTATACTTGATAGTTTTACAAATAGAGAAAAATTACACTTATTAACAATAACGTAAGGATTCAGTTCAGTTAAGTCAAAAGTCTATTAGCTGATGTCGAGATTGGAGGAAGTTGAGCGATTAGCGATTTTCAGCGAGATAAGGTTGTTTAGATAAATATATTGGTTGTTGCTATTTCAGGCTCAACATCACCAACAACAACTGAAGGATCATAACCATAGCCCCATGAAGTCCAAGATCCAGTCTCCGAGGATGCAGTGTAAGAAATTTTTGAATAGTTCTTATTTTCAGTATATGTCTAAAATACTAATAAAAATTGATAATGAATATTCTAGAATTATTCACTGACTAATTACTAACTACTCACTGACTACAGATTAACTACTTACTAACTGCTGACTATCAGCTGATACTAACTATACAATGACTACAGATTGACTTCTCATTTTCAACATACTGACTGCACATTGACAACAGACAAACTACTCATTTACAACAGACTGACTACTGATTTTCAAAAACTGACTACTCATTGACAACAGGCCGACTACTCATTGACAACAGACTGACTACTCATTTTCAACAGACTGACTACTCATTTTCAACAGATTGGATACTCATTGACAACAGACTGATTACTTACTATCTACTCACTACTAATTGTAGGTTTTATTTTCCACATCTCCATAACAAACGAGTGTTTTGATTATTTTGTTGCTGAGTGGGTTTTGATTTGCAGCGCGTATGCCGAGCCGACACATGGGGCGCTCCCCCGACCGGCTG